TTTCTGAACAAACATCTTGGCTGCAATTTAGCTCCATAGAATCTGAGAGCATTCATGAGAGAAGCAGCCAAGAAGACCATGGCGACTCCGGGGGAGCTGCAGAGAATCCACATAAATCTGACCCTTAAAGGAATAGTACACCCAAAACATGATTAGCCTTCATTTTCTACTCACCCCCATGCTGAACAACACTCTGGAGTACTTTTTTGATATCTCAAATGCATCTGGAGATCTGGGAGGCTTCTTGCTGTCTGCTGACATTCAAATAATGGAGGCATATGGCGCCCGAGGCAGAAAGGTCCATAAAAGTCCACAAAAAACGTGTCAATATTCCTCCATACTGCTGGTCCAATGTATTCCAAGTGTCCTGAGTGGGTAGCGTCCATAATTTACTCGAAACGAAGTCATTTAGAATGTTTTAGAGCATAAACAGTAGTGTATAGGATTTCCTAAAAGCGCGCGCCTGCGAGTTCACGAGTCTACGGAAACCGCAGCAGACCAAACCAGATGAAAGTGCGCATTCAGCGTCTGCTCTGCCGATAATGCAAGCGTAGAAGAAGAAATGTGCTGTTTACCTGTGCAAAGAAAGAAACAACGAAAGAAAAATGTCTGAGGACTTCAGTGTTGAGGAAGAGCATGAGTTCTTTGCCGAGCTGAATGCGCACTTTCATCTGATTTGGTCTGCCACGGTTTCCGTAGGCTCGTGAACTCGCAGGGGCGCGCTTTTAGGAAATCCTATACACTACTGTTTATGCTCTAAAAACATTATAAATGACTTTGTTTCGAGTAAATTATGGAAGCTACCCACTCAGGACACTTGGAATACATTGGACGAGCAGTATGGAGGAATATTGACACGTTTTTTGTGGACTTTTATGGACCTTTCTGCCTCGGGCGCCATAGACCTCCATTATTTGAATGTCAGCAGACAGCAAGAAGCCTCCCAGATCTCCAGATGCATTTGAGATATCAAAAAAGTACTCCAGAGTGTTGTTCAGCATGGGGGTGAGTAGAAAATGAAGGCTAATCATGTTTTGGGTGTACTATTCCTTTAAGGAAAGAAACATGTAGAGGGAAATGATCTGATGGGAGGAGATCAGAACTGAACTTAATCATTTACATCCAAGAATTACAGGCTTGAAAGGCAACACACATTCATTAGTCAAACGATCTAGTCAAAGCCCAACCTAAAACCCAAACTATCTGTGGCCCGACTTAAACACTGAGAGGAGGAAACTGTCAGTCTGTAGATGTTCAAACCTGCTGCAGCCAAAAGAGGTTCTACTGGGTTCTGAGGGCTGAATGCAAACGGACACCAGAGCAGTTTCAGATAAAATGTGTCTCCTGTTAATCTCCTCAGGTTCCGGACAACCCACCGAACCACATCCTCTTCCTCAATAACCTCCCTGAAGAGACCAACGAGATGATGCTGTCCATGCTCTTCAACCAGTGAGTCCACATCACAGCACCCAGAACCGCCATACTGCCTTTCTTCTTCTACCTCCTAAAGCTTGTTGCGTCCTCCACCAGTAGAAAGGACATTTTTCTCTCTTAGACGTAAAAACAAAACGGCATCATTTTGTTCTCCACATATCATCTGCTGTCTTTGGTCAATAACTAAAACAAATGCAGGTCAGATTAAATGTTTTGTGTCACAGATGTAGCTGAGTGCCACCATTTTGGTTTTATCTGGCAGCTAGTTGACTTTTGGTGACCTCTGAAAGCTTTAATCAAAATGATGGCCAAACAAAAACAATTGTGCTACACCATTTTAGTTGGTTTTGGTTCATTTTAGCGGGGCGGTTTACTTTTGGTGTTTTTGGGTCTGAAATCCGTACAGCGGTCCGTTCTGTAGTGGATAGTTCAGGGATGGGTGCTGTTCACATGGACAGATAAGGAACCAAGGTCTGTTACCGAGGAAATGCTATTGGTTCTCTGCGCTATCACGCCAACATTATCTAAAATGGACAAAGACGATGTGGCTGCAAAAAGGAAGGGGTGGAGAGGACAAAGTGAATGTTTGTTTAATTAGTTTTAGGACAATCAGGCATTTTTCAATCCTCATCAGACGAATGGCCGCCTCTGCCTTTTGTTCACGTTTTCTATTGATGGTGTGATGTAAGCTAGAGAGGTCGGTTCTGTCTGTGAGCTCAGCAGCTGAGTGAGCTTCTAGCCAGGGACGAAAAAACTTTTTTTTTGGTTTTTTTTTTTTACATTGATAAATATAAAAAAGTCTTGTGTAGGGATTTGTTGAATCGTAGTTAACTGGTAAGAAGGGATCCACCTTGGGAAGCTAAACTGATTGCAGCTAGCATGCACAAGGCGACAGTGGAGAGGAATTGATTGCTTTTCTGCATCCTTATTGGCAGAAAGCCTTTACTTTAACAATAAACCTTCACCATGAAACCAGGTCAAGGACCGCCCACACGTCAAACTTTATGCATCAGTTTAGTTCTGGAGAGAAATATCAGCTGCGCTGCTGCCATCAAAACCTTTATAGATGTTGGAGATCGGCCTGTTTTTCCAGTGTAGTCCTGTTTCTCTGTATGCTGGCTGAATGTGCTCTCTTCGTCCTCTGGCATGGGAGCTGGCTCGGAGCTCGTCTGCCTGGCTGTGTGTTTCCTGGACGGGGCCGCCTTTTACAGCTGCTTTTTGTATCTCTGCTTCTGTCTCCTTGAACCCCAGTCGGCCTCGGCAGATGGCCGCTCACACTGAGCCTGGTTCTGCTGGAGGTTTCTTCCTGTTAAAACAGAGTTTTTCCTCTCCACTGTCACTATAAGCATGCTTAGTGTGAGGGATTGCATTTGAGTCCATTAGTTGATGCAATCAGCTGGTTTTCCTTAGATAGAAAACTTTGAATGAATCTGACTGGATGATCTGGTGAACTGTAAAGTGCCTTGAAATGACATGTGTTGTGAATTGGCACTATAGAAATAAATTTAATTGAATTCTTCACACTTCTGTTTCTCTGCAGGTTTCCTGGGTTCAAAGAGGTCCGACTGGTTCCAGGGAAACACGACATCGCCTTCGTGGAGTTTGAGGGTGAAACACAGGCGGGCGTGGCCAAAGATGCTCTGCAGGGCTTTAGGATCACAGCCACCTGCGCCATGAGGATCACCTACGCCAAGAAGTAGTTCCTGATTGGATCGGAGGATCAGAGACTCAGTGGGGGTGGGGGGTGAATCCATCTCTACCTTTTTGTTTGTTTTTGTTTTTTTTAGGTTTTTTTATTATTTCTTCAGTGACGGAGTTAGGAGGAGAAACCTCTGGAATTTTGTAAAATTAAAGAATTAAACGACTAAATTCTCTTTGTTTTCTACCTCGGCCTCTTGCAGAGTGTTTTTTCAGAAATGATCAAATAAAGATGGCTGCATCAATGGATAAATGATGTGATTCTGTTAACCTATAAAAAATTTATTTTTTTATAAGATGAGAATCAGTTTCCTCTTCAGTTGGGTTGTGTAATACTTTGATGGATGAACCTCAACTCGTTCCCAATGACAGCCTGACCCCAAGAGCCCCTCCAGCAGCAAGATACTGACCACCACCACCCCCCCCCCACCACCCCCCAGTAGGAGCTAAAAGAAGCCCGGCACTACAGAGTTAAACTAGGGCCATAACGTTTATTCCAACACTTGTCTTTTTTTTAAAGAGTTGTTTTTTTTTTCAAAATTATTTGGGACTTAAAAAGATTTGAAACTGAATTTATTTTTCTATTTTAATTTTTTTCTTCCAATGTAATTCAGTTTCACACTGAGGCCTAGTCCACACAAAGACGGACAAGGTATCTTTTCATAAACAGCTTTTAAAAAGTTGTGTTCACCCAATTGAACACACCAATTAAAATACATAGCTTTGGCAAAATGGCGCTGGGTTTATACCTAATCTCTTCTTGTCAACGGGCAAAATCATTCCACACTCCACGTCATCCAAGTTCCGCCCTTACACTGAGGGAACAGCAGTTTAAAATGAGAATAAAAAACAGGGTTTCCACAGGTCATTAAAAGTCATTTAACTATTATTTTTTTAAATTAAGGCCTTAATTGGCATTAAAATTCATTAAATGTGATTATTGTGGCATTTAAAGTGCTTTATTAAAAAAAATGTTTATAAAAACTATTTCATCAGATATATCGGTATTATATCAGATATAACTGGTTCAGTGTGTCTGCACGAAACTGCTTCCGGTTGATCATAGCCTGAAAAGATCGGAAAAGAAGCTGGAGGCGAAGATAAAGCTAGAGTTAGGGAAAATGCAAATTACAACAAAAGTGGCTGGAAAATTGGAAATTCAGGAAATGGTTGCAGCCTGTCGACAGTTAGGATGATGAAGGATTTCTCTGTTTTATATATATATATAAATGAGAGTCATGGGTACCTTTTGATGGCATTAAAATTATTTCTAAAAGCATTGAATTAGAGTTACTCATTCCTTTATAAACCCTGAAAAAGAGTTGTTTCAAAAAAGGCTTGCAGTTTTAAATCCTTTTTTTTCAGTTTACAATATGTTTTTAAACTTAATGGTCACAATACTGGAACAAACTTCCCTGCATAAATATTAAGCTTCAAGGGTTTCCTTGGTTCTGCTTCCTTAAAAAAAAAAAAAAAGCTGCAATGTTCTGGTTCATTATAAAGGCTTATGATGACATTTTTTTTTTATCCTTTACTTCTGTGGACTGTTTTTTCTGCCTTTGGGTTCTGAATACTATGTTTGTTTAAAATAGTGTAAAATACCAGAAAAAGAAAAAAAACAGCCAAGCCCATCTTGGATTGATGGAGAGACTGTGTACATGTCTTCTACTGACAGGTGGCTCCACATCCTCCAGGCTGCTCACAATGAGGTCGATGGAAGATGATTGTCTGCTGCTGACCTGCAGATGAACCTGGAGATGCTGAAATTTGTCTAAGAGCATCGTAGATATTTTAGACCAAATCCTGCTGACTTCCAGCAGGTTTGCAAAAGGACCTGAAATCTGGACCGGTTTTCTGGAACTATTTGGAAAAACACAGAGAAGCAGCAGGAGTGGACAGACCTGCAGCTGAAGCTCCTCCTGTCGGGCTGCTCCTCTCTGCATCATCATCAGGATCCACAGTTCGACGGGAAAGCTCTCAGGCTGGTTCTCGTCTCCTCCTCCAGATGAGCAGCAGCTGCAGGTTTGTCTTTCAATCTTCTCTCGTGTTTTCAGCTTTCTTTTTTTTTGTCATCCTCAGTCTGGATCGGAACCACCTGATCGGGTTTCATAGAAAAAGCTGTTTTAATGAAGCTGATTCTGAGCTCTTGGCTGGTTTTGATGTTCTGGAGGATTGATCCTTCAAGCTCCCCGGATCCTCTGCTGGGATGCAGCTGAACTAGGATCAGTGAAACTGTCCCACCGTCAGGCTGAGTTCCAGGGTCTTAAATAGGATGTTTTCATTCCTTTTATTTTCAACAACAAATCAGAGCATTTTTATATTAAACTATAAAAATCAAATTGCTTCTGAGTCCTCCAGAGGCAGGCGGAGATTGGAGGGTTTGGGATTTTGAGTCTGGTCAGATGTTTGAAATGAGATGCTAAACAGATTCAGTTTTCTGAGGAAGCTTAGATGTTTTTGTGTGCAGAAACATGTTGGAGATCCTCCAGCAGACCTGGAGCAGCCACACCGCTCCCCATGACTCAGTCTGATTTAAAATATGGCTGTAAATCCAGAGCAGCTCCTGTTGGGTCTGAAATGACTAAAGCTGCGGGAAACTGAAGACAGACTGAAAGTCTCCACGGCTTCCTGAGTGAAAAGCAGTCAAAGCTGTTGCTGATGACATGTTCTCATATAAAGAGCATTTCTGAGTTCAGATGTGACATTCCTCAGCTGGTTGCTGAATCTAACAGCTGCTCCACATGAATGCAGCAACCAGAAACTCCATCTATGAAACGAGAAATTTATAAACTTCGAGACCAACAGAACCAACCGCAGGTTTGCTTAATTTTTACTCTATCCAGAATCAACCACCAAACCCTAGGTTTTTACATATCACTCACAAAATGAAGGCTTGGAGCTGAGCTGCTGCTTGGATTGGTCATTTTAAAAAACATTTAAAGACTTGCTTTTCAGAAACTCCTCTTTGAACCACAGTGGGGGAAATTGAAGTGGGTATGTGGCAAATAAACTATAAAAAAGGGTAAGCAGTTATCCAAAAATGGTATAATCGAATTCAAAGGAAAAGTATAAGATAAAAAAGACAAACAGCAGCCCATTTAAAGTAAAGTCAATTTAATTTTAATTGAAATGGGGGAAAAAAACATAAACAGCAAAAAGGTCGAAAAATACGGTAGAAAAAGTTGAAAACCAGCAGCATGGATGTGATCACTCATCTGGCCTGTTGGAAGCAGTGATTGATTAGAAAGTCTAACAGTAGCTGGAAGGATCTATGGTATCGCTCCTTTGGGGACCTAAAGTGCGACAGTCTGCACTGAAGGAGCCGCCTGAAGCTCTCTTGTGAAGAAGCTGAGGGATATAGAGGTGAAAGGTTTAGGGACCTTCATCAGCTCCTTCATGAACATTTTAAAACAGTCGTGTACAGGAGCCTCCTGACCTGGTTAATTCAACCATTTTCCGATCATTAATCTGAGTCTCTTTGTTTTTTGCTTTCTTTATCTTAAGCTCCATCACCTCCAGGGAACCATTCACTATAACCTAATTTTTTTCTGAACTTCCAGATATAAAACCTTGACCATGCCGACCTGATTCAAAATGGACAATCTGACCAACAGCAGCTTGGCTGACCATCTCCTGGTTAGCTACATCCTGGACTATGAGGTTCCTCCAGAAGAGATCCCAGACACAACGAAGGGTTTGGCCTTCTTTGTGGCCACCATCATCATAAGCATGGTTCTGGTTAGCATCATGCTAATCTGTGGCGTGGGAAACTGCCTCTTCATCGCCAGCTTGGCCCGTTTCAAACAGCTCAGGAACCTGACCAATCTGTTTATCGTCAACCTCGCGGTGTCTGATGTCCTGGTGGCCGCCGTGTGCTGTCCCTTCCTGCTGGACTACTATGTGGTGAAGAAGCTGTCCTGGGACCACGGCCTCCTGCTCTGCGCCTCCATCAACTACCTACGAACCGTCTCACTGTATGTGTCCACCAATGCACTGTTGGCCATCTCCGTGGACAGGTGGGTTCAGCAACTCTTTGTGAAGGGCTTGGTTTTCAGTCGGCTGTGAACAACAACTGTTCAGTTAAGAACCGACCCATGAGTGACCCGATATGCCTGTACTTGGCAGGAAGCTGAGAAAAATGACTTAGATCTTCATCTGTTTTTATGTATTATGCTTAATTCTATGGGCTCAGCATTCTTTGAAAATCTTTAACAGCATCAAAGATAACTTTTAGGACAGCATTGTTTATCGAGGTGGGAGGTCTTTAGGGTCTGGAATCACATTAATGGAGTCATGCAGAGACTGTATTAAAATTCACTGGAAAAACATCACAATTAACAGATTAGTGTACATTTTTATGGAGATTGTTATTTTGCGCACCTCAGAATCTAAATTGCATAAGGCTCCTTTATTCTGATTAAGGGTTCCACATCATCGTCTTCCACTTATCCATGACTGGGTTGCAGAGGCAGCCGTGTTCAGAGATTCCCAGACTGAGGACTGAGGCGTTATCGGCCCAGCCAAGAGACATGGTCCCTACAGCATGTCCACGGCCGTCCCCTGAGCCTCCTCCTTGTCTGGAGCACCATCCGAGGGAAGGGTCCAGTGGGCATCTTAAAAAAGAAGTCTGTACCACCTCAGCTGACCCCTTGCAATGCCTCTGAGCCTCTTCTACATGACCAAGCTCTTCACCTGAACCTGTCTCTATGGGAGTGCCCAGCCACCTTGCAGAGGAAGCTCCTTTCAGCCACTTATATCCAGGATCTCACTGATCCCTATTTCACGAATGAGGGTCAGACCGGTGACCAGAAGGTAATTCAAGAGCTTGCCTCCTGGTTTACTTTTCGTTATATCGGCAGCCAGACTGATCCCTCTATTGACCTTCTGCTCTATTCTCCCCTCACTCATTAAAAGAACCCTAAGATACTTGAACTCTTCCAGTTGAGACGGGAACTACCCCTGAAGCTTGAAGGGGACCGGCACCTTTTTCAGGTCGAAAATTGCAGAGTTAATTCTCATCCTTGCTTCTTCAATCTCAGCTGTGAACAGGAACAATGCATGCTGTAGGTCTTGTCAGGAGGGAGTGTGTGGGATCATGTTATCTCCAAAACATGTCCGGTGACAGAGGGCAGCCCTGCCGGAGTCCTACTGTGAACAGGTCAGACGGAACAAACTCCTGCTGTGCTTGAACACAGAACAGATGGCCCGTAGTATAGGGTCCCTGAGTGCACTCCCGGAGCTTCCCCCACAAGGCACCACGGCAGATATGGCCGAATGCGTTCTCCAGGTCCACAAAACGCTAAGGACTGGTTAGGAAAACTCCCATGAACTCTCGAGCAGAGGGTGTAGTGATGGTCCGCTGTTCCAAGGCCGGGACGAAAACCACAGTCCTGCTGAAGCTGAGGTTCTACAGCCAGCTGGACTCTCTTCTCCTGCACCCTGGTATAGGACTTCTGGTGGAGGCTGAGAAATGTGATCTCCCTATACCTGCAACACACCCTTTGCTCCCCCCTTCTTATGGAGTGGAACCACTACCCCGGTGTGCCGGTCCAGGAACACTGTCCCTGACAACCATGAAATGTTGAAGAAAATAGAAGGCGATGACAGCCTGACGTCCAGAGACCTAAAAATGAATTCTGTTAATTCCAGTTTAGGTTTATATTTTGTTCCTGGTGTATTACGCAAACCTTTGGCCAGCTGTCAAACTCAAGTAAGTTTAGCCTGAATTTCACAAACTGGTGAGCAACATTTTGGCACAATCTTTATCTCCGTCTCATTGTTGAATAATGACCTTTGGCCTTAACTGAGGCAGCCAAGCTTGAAGAGCTGTAAGTGTTCTTGATTCCTCTGCGACCTTCTGGATGAGTTGTTGATGCTCTTGAAGTAATTTTTGTTGGTAAAATACTCCTGGGAAGATTCTTTACTGTCGCATGTGTTCTCCTCCGTGGTTCTCTGGAGGCAGAGATGATTCGCAAACAGTTTTGCAACTTTCAAGACTGACAGATGGGAATGATTTTGTGTCTAATTGATTTCGTTCCTCATGTTCTTTAGATTTGGACACATTAAGAAATGTTTAAGTCGATTTCATGTAGTCAGGGAGGGTCTATTTAAATAATTTCTTAATTCTCAATGTCTGGCTGTAAGCATGTATCTGGTTGGTTAATAAGATGTATTTTGAAATTTTAGTTAATCACAGTTAATTGATGATTTAACAACTGGGAGATGTATTCTCAAAGAGGGACAGTTATGTTCGGACGCCTCTGTTTCCTTAAAATATCATAATTTGGAGGCTGTTTGTTGTATTTACATTAAGATATGATACAAGTTGAGTACATCTGGGGGAGGTTAAATACATTTTTAACATGCATCTTTAACTCATCCTGGTGCCAGATAACTGGTAGCTTATCTTATAGTCACACTTTTAAACTGGTTTTGTCTCATTCTCTTAAACATCGAGATCTTTCAGTTCATTTTTCTTCTTTCCTTTTTATTGTTTTTGTTCTTCACCCGAGGACAAGGTTTTGATCTCACTCAAACTGCGACAGGATTTAATTCACACTCAGAAAAACTGTTGATATTGTTCTGCTGCTCTGGAAATATTTGGTGTGTCAGTTTAGAATCTGTTTATTGTCTCCAGTTCAGACCCTCAAGGCGCAGTTCTGGTGCTGTTGTGCAGGAAGCTCACATCAAACAGATTTCTGATCTGATTCATGTTCTGCTGCTTTGGGCCTCAGAAGGTGATCCATTTCTCCGGCCTCGGCTCCAGATTAACTTGATCTATCCATCATGGATGTCTGGTCCTGGGACCGTTTATCAGGGAATTGGACATCTCAGGGACCGCCAAGGTTTCACTGTTAGTTTTCACCTCTTCCTGAAGAAGTTTCTCAGATTTAAGGCCTTAAAACGTGTCTAAAAAACATGATGATTCCAGCTTTCTGCTTTTAACACTGTCTCTGTCTCAGATCTTCATGCAGAAAAAGTCTCCTGAAAATCTGTAAAAGGAGCTGGAGCTTTAAAGGCAGCAGAGTAATGAACAGCTTTCATTACAGCAGAAAACATCCTTCATTAAGCTACACTGTAAAATGTTTGCTTTACAGTAAAAAAATATGCAAACCGGTTGCCTCAAAAAATCTTTTTTTGAACTTAGAAATGTTAGTATGTACAAGGTGCAAAGATTGTTTGTAAAGCTCAACTACCCTCATAATTTTGAGTAGACCTAACTTCTTGTTGATGATGAGCCTTTTATAAAGAACCAACATAAAGGTGCTTTCACACCAAACACCATTCCAGGCAGAAACTCTCCACCTTCACATAGGTGACGAATGTCTGATTCTTTGAATCAGCTGTCTTGATTTGTCCAGAAGTGAAACAGCCCTAACCTTTGCTCCGCATATCCATCTGGAAACCTTCCGTTGAAGTAATTTTGGGAAGGGGCGAAAATAATGGTTAGCTGATTGGTCTATGTTGGTGATAGACGGGCCAAATAAAGCAATCAGATCAACGAAGCATATGACGTACTAACAGAGCGACGACGAAAACACAACCACAAGCCAGGCACAAGCCAATTGATAGATCAAACTCTTGCCGAAACCAGTCGGGAGAAGAGCAAAAACATCTTTTCCTCTAAGAAAAGCCTCCAGAGCAGTGCTTTGCTCTTCTTTCAGTGAATAAATACTCTGTAATTCCGATAAAACTTGCTCGATAGCCACGCTAACGCTAGTTTCATCGGCTGAAGCCGCCATGTTCTTTAGACTGAACTGTCGCGCTTCTTGTTGCGTCACACCTCAACCCGCCTCAAAGCCAACGCTGATTGGACGTTCGTTTGGTGAACGGCTCCAAATTTTCTTTAACGGAGAGTCTCCAGACTGACTAGCGAGTGAAACCTTGAAAGCTCGCGAGATCAGGATGGTCTCACGAGGCTAAAACAGCCCTCCTCCTGCTGGGGAGGGCTGTTTTAGCCTCGTGAGACCATCCTGATTAAAACGTGTTTAAACTGTATTATAGGCAATGTGCTGCATGGGCCTTAAAAGCATGCTTCATTTTCACCCTCTTCAACTATCTGACTGTGGCCGATGAAGTGAATTATTGGCCTGGCTGAATACGAGAGGTCCTCGGCTCTCCTGTACAGGGGCTGGGGCTGCAATGATAGCGGCAAGGGATTAACTCAATAGCTGCATTGTAGGTTTTTGAAAGCTAGTCCACCCCCCTTTTTGTTTAATGTTGTTTTTTTCTTTCTTAACATACATGGCTTCCTTCATACCCCTCTCAAACCACCTACTTTCTTTTTCCAAAATGTGGACATTCTGGTCTTCAAAAGAATGTCATTTTGATTCTCAGTCATCCAGGTCATAGTCACTCCAAAAAAGGAAAATTAAAAACAGGACAGAATGAGGACCACAATGTTCACAATGATGATGATTTAATCACTGCTGCACTTTAAGAAATTTAAATGACATGAAAGCTGTACAAAATGAAATGTCGTTTTGTATGCACCCTGTTTATACAAAATGACTATAAAAGTTGTCTAACTCTAAGTCTAATTGTCAGTGAGGTACAGAATATTTTCCATAAAATGTAAATCAGTTTGTTGTTTATCATATACTGTGAAACAATCATAAAATGTTAAAATGTTTACTATCCATATGAAAAAGTAATCCATGTCATCGTTCCCATGACAAAGTCTATAAACTCTTTGTTTTTTAGAAATAAAGCTCGAACCTTAATCCACGAGTCTGGGGTGTGTTTTTCAGGTACCTGGCTATCCTCTACCCTCTGAAGCCTAGAATGCAGCACCAGACGGCCTACTGCGTGGTTCTGACCATCTGGATCGTCCCCATCTTCATCTCCATCCCATCAGCCTACATGGCCTCAGAGACCACCTACCCCCACATCGAAGGTCACACCCACAAGACGTTCTGTGCTCAGATCTGGCCCGTGGACCAGCAGGCCTACTACCGCTCCTACTTCCTCCTCATCTTTGCTCTAGAGTTCGTAGGCCCTGTAACAGTCATGACCATCTGCTACGCTCAGATCTCCAGGGAGTTGTGGTTCAAGGACATTCCAGGTTTCCAGACGGAGCAGATCCGGAAGAGGCTGAACAGACGTCGCAGGACCGCGGTGGTGCTGATTCTGGTGCTGGTGGCCTACGTCCTGTGCTGGGCGCCATACTACGGTTTTGCCCTGTTACGGGACTTTTATCCAACAATCATCTCCAGGAGCAGGAACTCCCTGGTGGCGTTCTACATCATCGAGTGCATCGCCATGAGCAACGGGGTCATTAACACCCTCTGCTTCATAAGTGTCAGGAGCAACAGAAAGCCCCTGAAGGTGGTGAGAATGTTTCCTCTGAAGCTAATCGCTTTTACAGCCAGAAGGTCCCTGGATGAAGGGGAGGCACAGACCTCCTCGCTGCGGTTGACTGAGATCCTGGAGGGACCTCGGCTGAGGATCAAGCTTGATGACTCTTTAAGGACTGCAGCTCATCACCAGGAACAGATCCTACCATCCAACGACTAATACTAAGAAATAAAAGCAGAAGATGAGGGACCTCCGGAAGAACCAGTGACTAAGAACAGTTCCTATACCACCGAACCTGGTGTAAACAGTTCATGATTATTAAATTCAAATGTCAAAACTTTCTGTTGAAACATTTTTAATTTCATAGTCTGGTACATTTTAACCATATTGGTACAATTATTACCATTTTAAAAAAAGAAAAAAGCTTAGATTCAATTTCAGGCTAAAAAATGCAGCAGGAAATCCCCTGGAATCCCCTTAATCAATGGGGATTGCCAGTGCTCTGCTGTATGTGGAGCTCTGCTGCTCTGAACAACTACATATAAGAAAACCTTTTTAGGTGTATTTTCTTCAACAATCTTAAAACTACCTTTTTCCCCACTCAAAGCAAATAAAGCCAAGACCGTCTTGCACTGCATCAGCCATTGTACACATTAGACCACCTAAATCAGAGCCTAGTTAAACTAGCCCCACCCGCCAGCGGCCAAAATAATTTTTGCCTGCGAGTTTGGTACAGCCTTGATCAATGCCCCAGGCCCTAGAACTGGCGGGCCAATCACAACGCAGAGATGTGTTTTGAATCTTTTGATGCAAAGTGGGCGGGGTTTTGAGGGCGTGACGACAAAGCTGCGCGACGCTGGAGAAATCACAACAAGTAAGATGGCAACAACTATTGAACAGTCCTCGTTTGACTCAGCTTTGGAATCAGTTTAGGAAGGATTAGACTTTGGGTTTTCGTTTACACATGTGGAGGAAGAGGCGCTACGCTCAGTCATTTTTAAGAAGGACGTATTCGCCATTTTACCGACAGGCTGTTTGTTTCCACTCCCCCACCAGCTTCCTGTCAGCTGCTCTCATTGGTCAGGGCGTTGGCCAATAGGCACAGACATGGTTTAAAAAACGAGTTGTTCTCATCAACAATCTTCCGATGTCTAATTCATCGGGGCCAGATTAAATTACACATTTAATCTCACATTTAGTGTGGTTTATCAGGCTACCAAAATCAGCTTGTGTGTTTTGTGTTGGGCTCGTGGTGTGACTGTAGAGTGAATTTAGTTTAATTACCGTTGGAAAAAAATAATGCTTTTTTTAAATAGTAATTTCAACAAAAATGTGAAAAATGAGGAGCAGAGATGCATTTCTACTGGAATGGACATTAGCAACAATTTGATGGGTCAATGTAAACATCAGCGAGTGTTTGTGTTTGTCCTAAAAGGGTAAATAAAAAGGAAAAAAAAAAAAATATATATATATATATATATTAATTCTGTAAAATAGTTTAAAGATATTTAAGCTACAGTGTGTAATATTTACACAGATTCAATAAAAGTAATATAATATATTATGGAGTGGGTCTCAGATCCAGACCAATTCACAATAATTCACAGAATTACAGTTTGAGAGGTTCATCATCAGAGGTTTATTTCTTACAAGAAGAAATTTTATTTAGATTTGAAGTTCATTTATAAAAAAAAAAAAAAAAGATCAGAGACCAAAGTGCTGAATAATCAAGGCTAGATGAGACTGGCTCAACATCACTGGCATGTGCAGGATTCGAGCTGATCTGGTACCTAAACCCGCCGCAACATTGTTTTTATTGGTCCCGCTATCGGGATGGAACCAATAATGGTTACAGCGAGCTGTTTGGCAAATATAAAAGAAATTATTGTCAATTATTTTAACATTTCATATGGATTGCAATAATAAAATCTTATTTATTATTTATGACGCGGTAAAAATGTTAAGACTGATTTAAGATTTTTTAATACCAATAAGGCCTTAGACTTTTACGGATCTGAACCTTGTTAAATAAAAAAAACTGTCATTTTTATGTTTTTCTGCAAGGCTCCAAATCTATTGTCATGTTTGGTGTAAATAAATCCAGGAATGTGAAACATTTCTGTCCTGTTTTTCCTACTATCGTTAGATCAGTGAACAAGCAATGAATCATGGAGGCAAAGATTAGATAGACTGGATCTTGGGACCTGCTTTGATTCTGAAAGCAGCTCAGTCTTTATTTTCAGTGAATCGAGGACTTGTCTTCCCCTACTGTCCCTTTAAACTGGCCGAAACACCAGCTGTTCTTCCTCCCTCTACCTCCCCCCTTTCTTCAGGAAGACCTTGGCCTCCTTCTGCAGTCTTTGGACGTCCTCCTGCTCGCTGTCATCCGAGCGAGGAGGCACGTAGTCCGAGTCGTTGCCGAGGTCATCGCTGTCGTCGTTGATGAAGCTGCCGTCATCTTCAGAGACATCTTCGTCTGGAGAATTTTTCGTCATGTTTCGAGTCGAACGAGCTGCAGAGATTAAAGTCGTCATTAAATCTTAAATACTGCAATGTATCGATTATATCATACAACCTAATTTTATGACCGTTTTACTGCAGATCTTTTTTCTTTTTTTTTTAAAACAAGCTGCAAACATTTTAATGTTCATCACAAAACAGAAATATTTTCCATCTGGGAGAAGAAAGTAAGAGAAGCCCTACATGTAAAACACTCTCTGGCATCAAACAGGGTTAATCACTGAATATAATGCTTTAACATTCTTTATATTTCACATCAGTTTAATGAAATTTGTTTGGTTAAAAACTCTTGTTGCTCTGAGCAAAGGTCACTTCAGTTTACTTCATAAAGCAGCAGTTCCTGTCAACTTTATATCCCTAAACTGTCCTGTCTCACAGCCATAAGATAAACATTTACTTGGATGGAATATTGAACATAAGTTGGACCAGGATGTTTCAAGACCGTAAGCTAATAAGTTTTAAAACATCACTTAAAATAATCATCTAAAGAATAATTTAGAATTAGTGATGATGAAAAACTCAAACGCGTAAATTTTATTTTTTTCTTTTATTTTTCTCCATTGGGGCATTAGTATTGTCAAAGAATATGATTAAATGCATTTACTATGGGATGTTTAGTAATATAAATCTCCCTTCTTTATGTAAAAGTGGTCTTGATGAAGCATAGTTTAAATGTGTGTAATTTTTTAAGAGTAGTGCTTGTGATTGTGAGCTATATATTCTAGAACAGCGCTGCTTAAGGTCGCAGGACATTGGAATAGCTCTGCTTAGCATGATTCTAGGGTTCTTTTTGGAGAGAACTTTAGATCCTCTGTTTGTTTGTTCAAAAACTGCTCCAGAGTTTCTGGAACATTTCATTTCTCTTTGGGATTAATAAATAAGTACTTTTTAATTAAACGCATTTGAATTGCATTAAATTGATTGCTCAGGCATGGATTCACAGCTATAAAGCTACCTGAGAATGACTTCAAAGAATTAATGTAGAGTTTCTTCAATTTTTTTCATTATGATGATAGTACCACAAAATATTGTGATAAGGTTTTAAGGCTGTATCGCCCACCCTTACTCTCAAGAAACTCAATATAAGATGCAGCTTCCTGGAAAATCGTTGACTCTCTGTAGATCAAACATAGAAAATCTTTGTTTCCCCAGACAAAACTCCCATTCCCCTGAATAACTGGATTGTCTGAAATATCCCTTATGGCTCAAAGTTTGATCTAAAGTTAGGTATGATCTGCATTCAACCATCCAGACAGCTCAGACTTTTGCAGGAAAGACCTGGAACCAGAGACCAGCAGAGTCTGAATGAAAGCAGCTTTCTTCTAAAGATCAAACAGCCGAAACCGAGCTAACCGAGCTATGAGTTTATTAACTAAAATTATAGATTTGCAAAAAAATAAATAATTAAATACTGAAAGATTTGAATCAAAGTGGCATATTTTCCTGAAAGAGTGGAAATAGTAATAACAATTTATGGCACATTTAAAACAAGTATGTTTAAAAGAGAATGAAACCCAAAACCTGCTTAATGGATTTAAATCAAGGATGATAAAAATCAAAAAACATCCTAACTTTCAGAATTAGGACTGAAATAGCACCTGACATAAAGTTATCCCAGGTTGTCTTACAGCAGAATAGTAACTGGTTCGCTGTTTATTGACTAGAGATAAAGTACCTGCGTATAAATTAGGGATGCACGATATTGGGATTTTGGCCGATATCCGATATGCCGATATTTTAAAACTCATGTAGCCGATAACCGATATCGATACCGATGTTAAAGCTGGACAAAAATAAGTAGTCATTGAAAATAGCAGTTTTGTTATCCATTTCTGACACTTTGAAAAATAATATACTCAAATATATTTTCATATGCTCATATCAAATCGATTTTTAAAAACGCGGTATCGATCTATTTTACTTTCAAAATTTCGTAAAATTTCATCGTCCTGTTACAAACTCTCGTGATATTTTGCAAATTGTTGTGAGATTTTGTTAGTAAAATAGATCGATACCGCGTCAATATATCAACATATAAAAATATGGAAAAAAATTTGAGATTGATATGGTGTTTTTAAATGGCAATATATCAGCATATGAAGATATTGGGATATTTTAACGTATCAATATTTTTTCCCTCGTCTTTAGAAGTTTTTAAGTCTGTAAAAAAGAAGTTTTTGAGGAAGAAGTAGTAGTATTTGTTTTTTTTTTTTTTTTTTTTAGACTTTAGAAACTCAGAAGCTGATCAAATATCGGGTTAAATATCGGTGGGGTGGCCGATGTCCGATATTCAGTTTTAAGGCCGATACAGATAGGGGGCCGATTATATCATGCATCCCTAGTATAAATAGACGGAAAAGCAGCCATTTTACCGTTGACCAAGTTACAGGAGCTTCGGTAAAGATGGGCAGTGAGAGAAAAGGGCCTGACACACACATACAGGTGCTGGTCATAAAATTAGAATATCATGAAAAAGTAGATTGATTTCAGTAATTCCATTTAAAAAGTGAAACTTGTATATTATATTCATACATTACATACAAACTCATATATTTCAGATGTTTATTTTGTTTAATTTTGATGATTACAAATGACAACAAATGAAAATCTCAAATTCATCATATCAGAAAATTAGAATATTGTGAAAAGGTTCAAAATTGATGGCCCCTGGTGCCACACTCTAATCAGCTAATTAACTCAAACCACCTGCAAAAGCCTTTAAATGGTCTTTCAGTCTAGTTCTATAGGCTACACAATCATGGGGAAGACTGCTGACTTGACAGTTGTCCAAAAGACGACCATCGACACCTTGCACAAGGAGGGCAAGACACAAAAGGTCATCGCTAAAGAGGCTGGCTGTTCACAGAGCTCAGTGTCCAAGCACATTAATAGAGAGGCGAAGGGAAGGAAAAGATGTGGTCGAAAAAAGTGTACAAGCAAGAGAGATAACCGCACCCTGGAGAGGATTGTGAAACAAAACCCATTCAAAAATGTGGGGGAGATTCACAAAGAGTGGACTGCAGCTGGAGTGAGTGCTTCAAGAACCACCACACACAGACGTATGAAAGACATGGGTTTCTGCTGTCGCATTCCTTGTGTCAAGCCACTCTTGAACCACAGACAGCGTCAGAAGCGTCTTGCCTGGGCTAAAGAGAAACAGGACTGGACTGCTGGTGAGTGGTCCAAAGTCATGTTCTCTGATGAAAGTAAATTTTGCATTTCCTTTGGAAATCAAGGTCCCAGAGTCTGGAGGAAAAGAAGAGAGGCACTTCATCCACGTTGCTTGAAGTCCAGTGTAAAGTTTCCACAGTCAGTGATGGTTTGGGGTGCCATGTCATCTGCTGGTGTTGGTCCATTGTGTTTTCTGAGGTCCAGGGTCAACGCAGCCACATACCAGGAAGTTTTAGAGCACTTCATGCTTCCTGCAGCTGACCAACTTTTTGGAGATGCAGATTTCATTTTCCAACAGGACTTGGCACCTGCACACAGTGCCAAAGCTACCAGTACCTGGTTGAAGGACCATGGTATCCCTGTTCTTAATTGGCCAGCAAACTCTCCTGACCTTAACCCCATAGAAAATCTATGGGGTATTGTGAAGAAGAAGATGCAATACACCAGACCCAACAATTCAGAAGAGCTAAAAGCCACTATTAGAGCAACCTGGGCTATCATAACACCTGAGCAGTGCCACAGACTGATCGACTCCATGCCACGCCGCATTGCTGCAGTAATACAGGCCAAAGGAGGCCCAACTAAATACTGAGTGCTGTACATGCTCATAGTTTTCTGTTCATACTTTTCAGTTGGCCAACATTTCTATAAATCCTTTGTTTTTATTGGTCTTCAGTAATATTCTAATTTTCTGATATGATGAATTTGAGATTTTCATTTGTTGTCATTTGTAATCATCAAAATTAAACAAAATAAACATCTGAAATATATGAGTTTGTATGTAATGTATGAATATAATATACAAGTTTCACTTTTTAAATGGAATTACTGAAATCAATCTACTTTTTCATGATATTCTAATTTTATGACCAGCACCTGTACATGAAGGTTTGCACACAATAATTACAACATTCAATCATTTATGTTATGGCCATTTGTTTGTGTTTTGTTTGTCTTATATGTTGTCTGTAGTGTCTGTGGATCCACTCTACCTATTGTATGTTGTCCATTTGTGAAATTATAATTTAGTTATTTTTGTCTTGGTAATGAGCTAACGTTACAGCTAGCACTACATATAACATAAGTCCAGTTTGAATCCAGGATGTTATAATCAAATTATTCGAGCTTCAGACGCAATAAAACGCATTCAACCAATATCCTAATTTTGTGTAGTGTTGCACCAACAAATAGGGCACCGATACCATTATAGAGCCAAAAGGTTATTCAACTATTGTCACCTGTTCCAGGCAGGCAATAAAAAGTTCTACTGGATTCACTTTGTTTTAGTCTTTTTCCTGCTTCTCAAAGGCAGGCAGCAGCTTGACAAAGCCATGATGGCAATTATTTTACATCCAAGTAGTATGCAATTCCTCATATATACACACACATTAATTTCAAACAGATGGTATCGGTATCGGCCAATATGGCACAAAATATGCCATCGGTGCAACACTACTTTTGAGACACTGAGAGCAACTTACGTTTATATGAAAAGTAAATAAAAGTGATCTTTGGTGTTCGCTGGCCCTCTTATAATCTATAAAAAATCAGATTTAACTGTAAAAAATGTCCAAAGCTGGAGGCCAATATCGGTTCTTTTTATTGCCTGCTTTAAGTCAGTTTAGTCAACAAAAATGTATTTAAATGTAAAACTAATCCTAAACTAAACACTGACATTGAACAAAGGTTGCTGCTACTCACCAGGTTTCTTTGTGTGTTTGAACTCCTTCCTGTGGAGGGGATTCTTCCTGCAGGCCGAGACAACAAGAGTTTAGGTCTGAAGAAATGTAGGTCAATGCAAAAACAGAGCTGCAAGATCATCAATGGTTTATTATCCAATTAGTTAATGGTACCACCGTGGCTCTGAGAGGCCACCACTTTCTGAAGGCAGGATATGATAGAACTAGAATAGGGTAGATATCTGCATATCCTGGTTTTAGGGATTCAGAAAGCTGGACAGCCGGTATTCTGAGTTAAGTTATTCTGTTAACCTACTCTGGACTGAAGCTGTCACACTGTTATGACCTTTACTGGAGGAGTCTGTAGATTTTGGACAGCAAATACTCAACTCCATTTCATGGATTTTCATTTATGGATTCGTTGATTGTTCAGCTCCGGCCAACCGGTTACAAAAGACGGGATCAAACTTGATCTCTCCATGCTACTGCCATGGTGGATCGTGTTATCTGGCATCCATTAATCAGGGACTCTTACCGGTATATGCTTCAATCTGGGCAGTTTAATTGACTGAAGTGACAGTTGAGTCACCTGCTGTCAAACTGAAAACCGTAAACTACATCAGCTGGCTCATATCTTGCCAACATTAGCATACGTGCTCTCTGATTCAGCAGTGATTTCAGCAGCCATGTTTAACTGCCACCTGATGCAGAACATTGCCACTCTCCATTTGCAAATCATTAACATCTTTACTTTGATTTTTTTCCCCAGACACTGGAAACAATGCATTCAATTACCATTTAATGACTTTTCAGGATTAATGTTTTCAAATCTATGACCTTGGTTGGAAACACTCAATACAAAAACCAAAACTCTACAGACTTTATTTCCAAAGTTTAGCATTTGAGACTGATAAAGACTCTTGGATAGATTTGCAAATGTCTTCAGAAAAACTGATCATAAGTCCGTTTGCCTCCCATTTAGGCTGTTTTATTCGTTTTTTCTTGCATTTGGAACTAAAGCTATTGAGGCATTCACATGTGGCTCCTCATAGATGTGAGAGCAAACGTCCTTATTACTACTAGTGATAGCAATTTTTCAGCTTGCGGCAGCGGTCGCCGTGATGTGCGAATAGTGCTGGCAGTTAGCATGTAGCAATTTAGTTAGCATAGGAACCTGCTAACTCTCCTATATCCACTGCTGGGATGAAGAGTCCTTTGAATGACAGGACGAATAGGCACAGCCCACCTCAGAGTTTAACAAAAAAAGCTTTCCTCCCCCTTCTTTCTGTGACACATGCTAATGCTCACCCCTTCATATATTTGGAGTTTTATATGAGAGAGCTTCAGCTGTTCACTCAATTTGAGTAACTTTTGTTTGTATTTTCTGGAAGGCTGTAGTCCTAATTTGGCTAGCTTAATTCATGTTGACGTCCTTCGCGTAATGATATCTGTAATTCTACATTCACAACAGACACAGGGGACAGCAGGAAGGTACCGGCTGCTTCATTTTTTATGCTTGTACACATAACGGTCAGACGCAACTCAAGAGCATCTTTGATGCTCCTGAAGCGCGTCCAGTAAAGTATGTCCAGATGCATCTGATGCTTCTGCTGCTCCTGTGTTCAATGGCAGAGAGCAGCTTTGCTATATTTGTATGGAACTAAATCTGTGTCGCTGGGATTTGAATTAAAAATGCCACTGAAATTTAAATGTTGTATGTTTGTGCTTATTTTTTCATTGTTAAAATATATTCAGAACACATTTTTGACCTAAAAAAAATTCATTGTCATTATTTCTGCAGTTGAAATGTCATTTTTTATTTTCTCTTCAAGCTAAAAAATCACATTACTATTTCAAAGTGATTACATTTTCAATAATTATTTTTCAGTTTAATTTTTCAGTGTAACAAAAATCTGTATATAAAAAAATTCAACCTTTCAAAATTCAAACTCAATATTTTCAGCCTCCTGAGATTCAACTGGCTCTATTTCACTGTCTTAACTTCGGGGTCTAAATTCAGTGTAAAAAGGGAAGGGTTACTTCAGGTCATAGACATTAGTGATGGATTGCTGCGTCCAACACCCAGCCAATCCCGTTACGTTTCCTTAGTCAGGTGACGTGATGCGTGTGGCGCTTATACTGAAGGAAAACCAGCATGACGGTGCTGGTCATGCAAGCTAACGCTAACTCAAATACAGAAAAATTAAAGTAATAAACTCACCGTTGAGTGAAAGTTTAATATGCAGATTTTTGTAACACAACAATTAAACTGAAAACTAAGTATTGAAAATGTAATCACTTTGAAATAGTAATGTGAATTTTTAGCTTGAAGAGAAAATAACAAATGAAACTTCAACTGTGTAATGACAATGAATTTTTTTTTATGTCAAAAATGTGTTCTGAATATATTTTAACACTGAAAAAATTTTAAATTTAAATTTCAGTGGCATTTTTAATTCAAATCCCAGCGACACAGATTTACTTCCATATTTGCTGTGATCAGTGGGTAAAAAGTAGTTTTGATATATTTTTAAGCGAGAGAGTTGACCTCAAAACATGGTCTGTGCAGTCAGTTCATAAAGATTACGATCCTGCCTTAAAATATTATTTCGCCATCGGAGCAGCTCAGACCCCCACATACTGGCGGTGCGCTGTCACTGGGATAACAGCAGCAGCTGCCTCTGGTCTGGTCGCCTCTTGGGGGTTTTCACCTACTGTTCATGGCGAATGGAAGTAGATATTAGTGTTTTTTTTAAACGTGATACAAACTGCAGGCACCAGGATAATAAAAGCGAACATATTCTGCCGGCAGGTTTTAAGTGTATGTCTTAATTAAAATGTTAAGTTAATTTAGACATTAATTAATTGTTTCTGGTTAGCAATCATATTGATCTGCATCAGCAGTGCTGCGTCCGTCTCCTTGCCAGCTCCCAGATCAGCTTCTCTGATTGGTTGATGAGGCGCGTCAAGCAACAAAAAATTCCATCTTTTCTAAATCCAGCATCTGCTGCCAATGAAGCACGTCACGCGCATCAGATGCTCAAAACTCGTAGGCGCTACTTCGACTGCTCAGAAGCGTCACAGTGCACTGCTCCTGCTGCTCTAGACGTGCTGTAGGATCTTTTGATGTGCCTTGATGCGCATCAACCACAGACTTTGCATGTAAAACGGCTGCTTCTGCTACCTAAAGTGCTTCCGGTGTGAACGTAGCATAAGACTGACGGTTGTAACGATTCAGCACAGCAGCCCTTTCCCAACCCTGGATAGCTTTCTACTGTTAACCACAACGAAATGTGGAAAAAACTTCACCTACTGTCTGAGGGATTAGGATTCAATTTAGGAAGTCAGACAACCTATGACTAAACTATTAAGATATATACTTCTGGTCATGATGCCAACATCAACACCAACGGATTCTGCACCAATAGGAACAGCAGGTTGAAGTCATGTGAGCTCAGATCCTAGCAGCTCCACATTCCTCAGGTTAAGGTAAAATCAAAATAAGGGTGAACATCGGCCAAAAGTGTTAGTGCGCCACCTACTGGTCGGGAGGAGTTGAACTTGTAGCCATCAGCTTCAAAATTAGAGGATTTAAATGAAGCACTTGAATTTGTGTTTAGGTTTGATAAAACTGATTATTTATTCTTCCTTTAGAGCTGAGCCAACTAATCTCATTGAAAATATTTAGAAACATTGTCAACTAATTTAGGCATCAATTAATTATTAAGTTCAGCAGAGAAATTCTAAAACATGCTATTTGCTAAGTTTAACCCATTCAAAAATATTAATTAAGACAAAGCTATAAAGATTAGGGCTGGGTAAAAAGAACCATTTAATCGATTTTGAATCGATTCCTTTACATTTTTACACAATCGATGTCTAGGGAATGAGATCGATTAGTTTTATAGCTTCACATTCAACTGAGCAGGAAAGATGCACTACTTCAAGCCAAACAGCTGCAAATATAGCTAATAGGTTGATTGAAGACATTAACAAATGGGGGCTGACTAACAAACACCCTGTAGTTGTTACAGACAACGCTGCAAATATGGTTTGTGCATTGAAGTTAATGCAGCTCATGCATGTCTGCTGTGTCACGTCTGCTTGCTTGAGTGAGGCTTCACTTTTTCACTTTTCACAAACAAGTTTGCACTTTTGAGACAGTTTTGTTCACATCTCAAGTTTAAACTGTCTGATTAACAAGTTTGCACTCTGTGTTTAATATGGCAGGAAAAAACAAAATACATGAGTGTTTTGAAACACGGTTGAACCACTTTCACTATTGTAAAAACAGATTGAATCAAAATAAATCGATTTAGAACTGAATGAATCAAAATCGAATCGATTCAGGACTTTGGCGAAAATACCCAGCCCTAATAGAGATTATACAATAATGTTAAGATTTGGGTTGGAAAACTTTCTTTGTCAGTAAATATTCTCAACTCAGGACTTTGAGCTTCACCTGCTTCAAAATATCATTTCCTATAAAGCACTTTCTCTATCCAAATAATAATTGATTAATTATAAATAATTGTAGCCAACAGCCATTTTATTTGTTTTTTTACTTTAATTAGACTTTTTAAGTCCTTGGTTTGTGTCCAACTAAAACTTTTTTCTTTAACCTCCTTTAACCCTCGAGCGGCCGGCTTGGTGATGCTTCCAGGTCTGCAGGTTTTTAAATCTGCTAAGCAAACATGTCTGACCTGTAACAGTCAGTGCCATACGGACACTCTGGTCGATCCCCATCCTCCTCTTCCTCCTCCTCCTCATAGTCGTCGTCTCCTGGGTGACTGCACTCTTGGAAATGAAGAGGGTTCTTTCTGGAAAAGCAAGCAGAGGAGATATTGAGGACTGATTGCTCTGCAGTGATTCATCATGTTCAGAAAGAGAAAATTATCTGTTAGTTTAAAGCAGCTGATGTCTCCTCACTGATACCCAGAGGATTATCTGAGAAGCCTCAGAGACAAACTATTTATTTTCCTTTTCCAAAGATCAGATTGTCCCCAGCAGGTGAACCCACCTGTAGCAGTCCTTCCCATATGGACAAGCCGTTCTGACTCGGGCCGAGAGCTTCTCCTCTTTCTGGGATATCCTTTCAGACGTTTGTGATGGACCTTCATCGTCCAGCTCCATACTTGGATGGTCAGCCTCAGAGCAGACTCCTGGTCCACTGGGTTTGGTCTGGATTCTGGAGTCAGGTTCCTCTGAAAGAACCTCCTGAAAATAAGAGGACACAAGTTCAATTGAAGTCTCTGAGCGGCGTAGCCTGTGGAGGAACTGAGATCTGTCCATCAGTGTCCATCAATGTCCATCAGTGTCCTCATGTCTGCAGACATCACAGTCATTTTGGAGCAACTTTGGATGATGTTTAGTCTCAACAGGCAGAGATGAAATTATCCTAATACGGTAATTCCCAAATTACAGCCAGTTGGTTTATGACTGTCTAAGGTTAGGACCTAATATACCTAATTTTTAACAGCTAAGGGTCGTTTATTAGAGTTTTTGTAAAAACTAATTCTCAGATGATGCGATTTCACCTCCTATGCGATTTCACCCTTAGAAAGGGTTTCCTCTACTTGTAACTGACGGTGGCAAACAGCCATAGCAAAATAAAAGCCCCCATACCTTAAGAATGAATAATAAAAATATGTTAAAACAAAGTAAAAAATATTATTTTTATCATAGTGTTTATATTCTAATCATAATTAGACTTTGAAATGAAAAAAATTATAACGGAATGTTAAAATGTACTTAATTTTGAAAAACCAACACCACCTTCTGTGCTGCTAAGAAGCTGGTTAGCTTATAAAGCTAACCGGTTAGCTTATAAAGCTAACTGCTTCCTACAGAGTGCTGCTCTCTGTACTGAAGCTACCGATCCGTCCTGAAAGCACGATCCGTACCTTCAGCTCATTTGTGCATGGGCAACTAGATATACATCCAGGTTTCAACAAATAATGTAATTATGGTACTAAAATTATGCATTTCTATCCTTAACTCACTAAAGCAAAGGTCTTCAATGTTTTCCAGGCCAAAGACCCCAAACTGATGGTTAGATGGAGCGGGGACCACAAAATTATATATATTGTATGAAATTGTGTTCTATTAAACTGGTCCTATAGTCACTCTTGTTATGCCATTTGCCATGATCATACTTTTTGGACAGTGGGAACCAGTGTCCATATTTCATCCTGATAGGATGACCAGAGAAGAAAACGCAGCTTTGGTGAATAACAGCTGGGGGACTTCAGCAGCCCCCCCTTTTTCAGCCAAAGCAGCATCATGGAAGTCACAGAGGTGTGACCAACCACCACCCCCCCTCTGTGAGGGCAGAACATAACCACAGAGCACACAGGATTCTGCCTCTTTCTCTCTTTCTCTCTTTTGCTCTTTTGCTCTTCTGCTCCAGCACCTCTCTCCTGGTCCCTTCTGCGCTCAAAGCTGGGGCCCACTGTGGCCCACAGTGGAGATGCAGGCCCCAGGGGAACCAGATCCCCAGAACCATCAAGGATGAGTCAGAACTCTTCAGAACCTAACTGCTGCAAACAGAACTTTTGCAACACATTTCTCTTGAGTTTTAGAACTTACAGAGCCAAACTGGATGAGGAGCATGCCCTGGTGTGAGACTGAGAAGACCCCTGCTGTGAGACTGAGACAATGAGTCCCTGACTGCAGAGCTGCAAAACTGGATGAAACTCAAGCTTTCCAAACGGACATGGAAAAAGGTTTGCAGGTCTGGCATGATTAGGGACAGAACAAGCAATGTGTCTTTTGATGATGCTAATCATATCGTGTGTTTACTGCTGAGTAAAGACAACGCTAATTGATGCTAAAGAATGGACTGCATGCTACGCTATGCTACAGGAATATGTGTTGCGCCGTTGCTAAAGCTTAGACAAGCTTTATTCACTAAGGATTTAAACACTGATGAAACATTAGTGTTCATGTGTTCCTCAGATGCTCATTACATTTCCATTACCAAGTCTGACCAAGAGTCATTTAGTGGAATCCTGATGTCTATTCGCTGCTAGCTATTTCAAAGAGGGTAAAGAATCATTTAACTAAAGGTTATTGGTTCTTGATTAAGCAAATCATTTAATAGAACATTATTTGGCCAAATAATGTTTTATTCACCTCATGGATTTGCATTGTCAATTGGTCTGAAAACATTCCAATTTCTCTAAAATTAGTGAAAAGCTAATTTGATCATATCCCAAATTCTTCCAGATAAACTTTGGTTTCAAACACAGAATCCATCTTAAACTGTAATATGTTTTTCAACCGTTTTTCCCTTCCTCTTTGTACATACTAGTTAGTTTAGTTTAGTTGAGTTTTACTAGTCTTAGTTGAGAGTGTTAAACTGAAATACGTTTGACTTGGAGCTGAATGATTTTTGTTAATAAAATCTTATATTTTGAACAGAAGTTGTGGTGAATTTATTCCATGTATGTGCAGAAATGATTGTTTGACCATGATTAGAGCTCGAATCACTCTTTCATCTATTGTTCTAACACACAGTTAGTAGGACTGTGTGTCATAAACAGTATATAACAGCTGAAATAATATCTGATTAAATAAGATATTTTACCCCCCCTACAGGGGAGGGCAATAAACATCTTAAAGTATCAGAATTATAAATTTCCCAGCAGGCTGGGAATAGAATTTAACTATAGAATCACAACACTCTAATGCAATGAAAGTAATTTCTCTCTGGGATTATTAAAGTATTTCTGATTCTGATTCCTGGTTGATGGGACAGGTGTTGTGAATGAAACGGCGCCCAGCTTGAAAGAGCTCCTGTGTGTCGCTGAATGTGAGCATTGATGACTGAAAGACATCTTCTGCCTCCATTTATCTGTTTACTACAGTCTGTTGAATTCATGTTAATGTGGATTTAAAGACATTTCAATAAATGTTTTCAATTTCCAAGGGAAAACAATGCAGGGGGAATATAAAAAGTCTAATCAACCAAAACTTTCGCAACCCCCATGCAGTACCGCTGTGGACCCCCTAGGGGTCGCAGACGCCCTTTTGAAGACCTCCGCACTAAAAAATGCTAAGACACATCTTTAAAAAATCTTTTATCAGATTTATGAGACGATTTTGATGCTTTTTACATTTTCTCCGTTAAACTGCTTCTCTGATGTCATCATCGGACATGCTCAGAGCAGTCCGGAAAATGTGATTTAACCATGTTTATCTGTATTTTAGTTGTTTCTTTCTTTAGATTATGCATGATATACCATAATGTCAACATGAACTCGATTTATGTTTAAATCCACAGCTGAAAAAATAAGCTCCCGGAAGTAAAAAAGGATCCCATTTCCGGCAGTCGGACACAGACGAGTGATAAAACAGAAAGGATTTTAAGGCATTTATATTCTCAGGAAATACATTATTAACCTTTAATACATTTTAGTTCAGTACGCATACTGTTTTTGGGGAGGTAAAAACATAATTTAGGTATTTCTTACAAAATGACATCAAGGATGACCCGGATGTACAGCTGGTTGCACAAATGAGCTGATGGTACGGATCGTGCTTCCGGTGTAGGAACCAGATCTGCTTCATGCCAGTGACATTACGCTACATGATTGGCTGAAAGTTGCCACATGATGTAAAACATTGTGGTTGCCCAGACAACGATGATCACGCAGCATCCGTGTGCTGAGTCGGGAGCATCTGCAGCGTCAACTTGTCTAATAATCTATGAAGTTTTACCTGATCAACAACAAAACTGAAAAAAAAATGTGTATGGTGAACAAAGTAACTGCAAGGCCATGGTGTAAAGGGGGGGAGCTGGATAGCGCTGTAGCTACCTGTGCTCAGTAGCTAACAGGTTAGCCTCTTTTAGCTCGGTCAGTTAGCCATATTAAGCTAACCTGCGTTTAACTTTGTGTCACTGTTAGTTTTCTTCAAGTAGAATAACTATTTTATTTGTCTAATATATCTACTAAAGTCATTTTTAAGATGCCCATTTATCCTTCCCTGCCCTCAGATCTTCATAAAAGAATAAAAATAAGCTGAGACTTTTTTTCTTTAAATGGTAGAGCTCCATCTTAGAGCACATTTTACTTTCCTTCAAGACTGACAGTGATTGTTTTCTACTTTAGATTGCGAATGAAATGTAAAATAATAGCAAATATACTGTAGGTAATAATACGTCTAGAATCCAAAAGAGATTAGATCCTTAAGAAACGGGTGAATACAGTTTTTCTCCGAGTGGATTTCCATATGTTGACGTCATAAGAAGAGGGCAGGGCCCCGAGCAGATCTGGTACCTACAGCGGGACAGATCGGGTAGGTACAGGAGGAAAACTGGAAACGACAGTCCAGCGTTGCTAACTTAGTTACTCGTTATATTTGGGGACTTCTTAGACCCCTTAAGCCATTGTTTTTAAATAAAAACAACTAGAGACAAAGCTAGTGACCTTTTCACTGTGTTTTAGGGGTGTTTAGCAGCTTTAGGCGAAAGCAGCGATCCCTCTACCAGTACTGTCTGGAGACAGCAGAGATAGCGGCTGTGAGTCTCTTCCTGCTTCCCTAAAGGCGACCTCGTCCTGAAAGCCCCTCATTCAGTCATAGCAAAGAAAACGGCTCCGTTTTCCCACAGCTGATGTAAAATTCAGGTTCAAAGCTGATTACCTTTGTGACTTGGATTACAAAGTAGGACATAAATATAGTTTTAATAAAGTCTATTTTTTCCTCTGAAACTGTTGCACTAAAGTACATTTCCTGATTAACACACTTACGATGATGATGCCTGTGCCTCTGACTACTGTCAAGGATACAGCAGCTGTTATACAGCGGTAAAAAGAGGAAAGTCACTCTTCTCTGACAGCCTACAGTGTTTGGAGGAGGGAGGGGCTTGCAGCAGTGCTCACTGCTTGCTGAAGATGGTGAACTCAGAGTGATTGGTGCCTTCAGGCCGTTTCCAAAGTCTCCAATAGAGTTTTTTTTTCTTTTAAATCAGTGCCTGGGCTTTTTCTGGAAGCAGCAGAGACACTACCTGAAGTACAAAAAGGCACATAACCTTTTACGTTTTAACTGTAGGCCCTTTAAACTAAAATTTTAATTTGGAATAAAAAAAAGAAAACCAGTTTTTGTTCTCAGCCATACCGTCTCTGTTGGTAAATGTTCTTCCTCTCCTCTCATCTTCCTTCTCTTCTTCCGTGGCCTCTCCTCTGCCTCCTCCTCATGAAGCTCCACTCTTGTCGGTAAGGAGGATATAGTGGACGGAGCCTGTGTGGCTGAGGATGCAGACGTTTGTTCACGCTTCTTCACAGCAGGCTGAACTACGGGAAACAGACGTCAAACAAGTCATAACTGATTTCCATTCTGCAGAGCTACAGCAACAGACAATAAACCAGTTCAACTCTATGCTGACAATGTTATGAATTTGAATCCAGACACCATCCTGGTCTCCATCAGCTACAGTGATCCAGGAAGCTAATAAATACGCTTTGAGGTCCATTTCTTTTCCATCAGCTGTTCCCTAATCTACTCAAAAAGCAGAAAAACCCAAAAATACAAAACATGAAAACAAGCAATAAAATGATATAGTCATCATTGATCAATATCTTCCTTCTGAGGTTGGAAGTGAAGGTTTACCGTAAATAAATAATTGAATCCAACATGGGTCCTACTTACATAAATGACACACAATATAAAAATAAAATAAATAACTGAAAATAAGTTACTAAAAAAAATTTTTTAATGCCATCAATAAGTACCCAGGACTCTCATATGTATATGTCAGCAGGCTGCAATTCCTCAATTTCCAGCCACTTTTGTTGAAATGAGCATTTTCCCATTCTCTAGCTTTTTCTCCGCCTCGAGCTTCTTTTCCGAACCTATGGCTTTACGATCAACCAGAAGCAGTTCTGCGCAAATACGCGATATAATATATCGCAATATATTTGCAAACATATATATTGTTTAATAAATTGTTTTTATAAAAAACATTTTTTCTAAATAAAGAATTTTCAATGCTAAAACAATCACATTTAATGAATTTTAATGCCAATTCAGGCCTTGATTTGAAAAATAATTATTTAATGACATTTAAGGATTTTTAATGACCAGCAGAAACCCTGTTAATCTAACTTACCACCTTCTGCGATTTTTACTGTAAATCGCATCGCAATATCGAATAATAAAATAAATAATTTCAAAAAAGTAATAATCTTATACATTCCCTGAATAATATTAAAATAAACCGGGATGTTAGCGGCAGGTGATGATTCAAAAGAAACTTAGTGTCTCAGTGAGTCACCTTTTGGAGCAGCAGCTGCCATCATCCACGCAGGTAAAACTCTCCTCCTTGGAGCAGGTGGAGACTCCTCGCTTTTATTGTTCCGTGGCCGTCCAGTAGAATTATCCTAAAGAAAAAAAAAAGAGATCCATCATCAAAGAACAATTAAACTGATGATTTCATTATCTTCCTATTGAGGGAATTTTGTATCATTATTGTTGCAAAAAACACCTTTTTGTAAACGTAAATAAAAAAAAATGCAAATTAAACTTCTCAAAAACGTCTTAAATCAAAAAGGTTTGAGAGTAACTTTGCAGTTTTTTATTAGATTTTTTTATTATTATTTTTTTATTTATTAAAAAACTGATTTTAGATTTAGATTAGATCTAAGATCACTCTTGTCTAATAAAAATGTTCTTGCTAACGTCCAGCAGACCAATAGAAATGCGTCTTTGATCATCTTTCCAGAGGAAAGTGAGGAGAATGTGATCTGGAAAACACAATCTGAAAAGAAGGTCATTTTTATGATTCAATCTGATACATAATCTGAAAATATACAAAACCTGCAAAGAAAAAAAAAAATCAGCAATAGCAACATTTCTCTTAAAACCTTTTTTTATTATTAAGAAACTTTACAAAGATTGATTTCTGGAATAAATTTTTTAAACACTTCTAATACTTTCTATGCTAGAAACACTAGCGGTAAACTAGCTCCAGCTCTGTCTGGAAAAGAAAAAGTTAATCAGATGAGCTCTGAGCCAGTTTTCATGTCGGACGTGTTTAAAACCTGCTCTTTGCATCAATAACAGAATAAAAGTGACTCCATATCTTTCCGGCTTGTGAGGCCATTGTTATTCTATTAAATAAGGTTTTCAAAAACTGAAGTTATTTAGATAATTGGCAGTAAAACTTGATGACTTTGAGGATTGAACATTTAATATAGAGCTTACAAAATCTGCATCTTTTATAAATGTTTTGAAATTAAAACTGAAAATGTGGGCGTCAATTGGGTATGTATAAAATAAAGTGAAGCGGCCTGTCTTTTCCTTCTGGCTGAGATCTGGGTTGTTTTTCTGGTTGATACCATTTGCTGCTCTGCAAATGCAACTAAACATTTTTCCACTCTGCAGTACAGACCTCTTTGAAACCTGTTCCTGGTTGGATTCCATTCGGATCTGAAATCCGTTCCTGCTGCGGCCCAACCGCAGGACACGCCTCCACAATGGATCCAGTGGGAACAGGAAGCTCTTCTTCTTCTTTTTCTTCTAAGTTCTGACTGTTTCTGCAGAAATAGATGCGAGACAGAAAGGTTCTTAGAGCGTCAGGAGGGACATGAATGTTTCATGGGCCTCAGCTGGTTGGACGCTGCAGACGTTCACTTGAGGGTCCTTGTTAATCTGTTTGAGGTAAGCTTCAAATAGAGAGCGGCCATAAATCAAAAAACATGAATCAACACTCTGCCAACGGAGAACATCTGACTCCTTCACTCCTGCTGCAGAAATCAAGCCCACCTCAGAAATGGACCTCATTCAGGTAATTATTCAGAGCAACGATGCTGTTGCCATGAGAACGCTTCAGAGACAAGTACCTGAGTGTGCTCTCCTCCCCGCCCACGGCCTCCACCCTGTAGATGAAGCGACCCGGCATAAGAGAGAACAGGTCTCCGTGTTGAAGCGGGTGCCAGGAGCCTCTCTCCAGGGGTCGGGGGTCATCGTTCAGGGAGGACAGGATGAAGCAGGGATTCAGGTGGGTCTGCTGGGAGGAGGTGATGATGAGTTTTTCTGTCCCAGAGCGCCCCCTACTGAACATGCATGTATTGTTGAACAAAGCAGCTGATTTAAAAAGCGACACGTTTTATTCAAATTGAAATATCTTAAAACTGTCATAAATAAATTACGAAGTATTTCATCAAATAAATAAAATATCTCAATGATGACCACAAATAGGATAACAACAAATCTTTTTTAGCGTTTTGGTGTGAATTTATTTCAAGATTTGTTTCATACTTCATTTATTTCATAAAGTTTGTTTATTTATAAAGCCTTTTTAATTTTTAATTTTTTTTAAACACGTTTTTATTTTCAGGCTCCGTTTATTTATGTCCTTTATTTCTTGTTTATATGTTCAAATAAAGGGGGCGGGGTTTTCTCTTTGGGGCATAGCAGAGCAGGTGCCGCCACGCCGCGGCTTAATAATTGACCACAGGTGTACAACCGTGGCGCTCTGATAGCAGTTTAGGGAAAGAAACCAATGCTAACAAAACTGCGCCCACTGGTGATAAGCTCTAGCTGGATTTAGCATGGTGGCTAATTGCTCAGCTAATGAGGAGAAGTAAATGGTTGTGACTATAGTTTGTTGACAGTCTGGCAGCTGAGTCAAAATGCTATAAAAAAAAAAGCAATAAGTCGATTCAATCACCTTTAAAAATTGCATCTTAGCCTTATGTAATATGTTAGCTAATGCTAGTTAGCAGGTGCTGCAGTTTTACTGGTGGCTGTGACCTAGAGTCAACGTACAGAGCAAATTTTGTACTTTCAATCTAAATGGTACGCTACATGATTAAATTTAAACAAATATTTCTTTAAAATAAAAAATATATATTTTCAAATTAATAACTCTTAAAAAAACATTTTGAAAAATTAACAAAATCTTAAAAATATATATATATGTATATATATATATATATATATATATATACACACAAATATATATATATATATATATATATATATATATATATATATATATACACACATACATATATACACACACACATATATACATACATATATGTTTGTGTATATGTATATATATGTGTGTACACATATATATACATATACACACACACAGATATACACACATATATATACATATATGTGTGTATATATATACATACACAGACACACACATATATACACACATATATACATATATGTGTGTATGTATATGTTTATATGTGTGTACACATATATATATATATATATACATATACACACACATATATACACACACACACACAGCCTTATGTGTCTGTACATGTAAAGAATACATTTTGAAGTAAAAAACATAAGTGACAAAATCTGCGAAAACATACATTCTATTTTACAATGAAATTTTGTTATTTTATTAATAACATTATTTTCAAATTTTCTATTACAGTTTTATTCTTTTTATTTAATTTTGATTAAAACAGCTCTCTATAGTTTAAAATTTATCTAAAAAGATCTCATTTTAATGTAATTGTCCCCTCTTTTGCAGATGGAGAGGAATCCTGCTGTTTGGAAGACATAGTAAAAAGATGAGGTTTACTGAGTAATCAGAAAAGCCATGTGGCAGTGAAGATATCTAATTGATCATCAACGCACCGGTTTGAGTCGCAGCTGTCCGTTCAGGTTCTCCAGCAGCCCGTGGTGTCTGGAAACTCTGGTGTCACTGATCTGACAGCAGGAGAAAACACAGAAAAAGGGAATCTGATTTAAACATTTCTCTCCTGATGTTTCCTCACTGCAGACATCACACAGATACAGACACACTGCTCACAGAAGCACCGGCACAGTGAAACACTTCTTTCATGAGGAAATTCTTAGACTATTCTTCATTCAAATTCCCAGAGTTCATCATAATGGATGCAGGGAAGCAGCATCAAACCATTTATCATGACATGAAACCTTCTTAGGTTAAAATATAGGTAAACTCTGTTTAATACAGGCTTTCTTTACAGAAAGAATTAATTTCAAACAAAATTAAATATTAAATTATGTTTTGAGAATCTTAGTAGAGATTCTGATTTCTTGGAAGCAAATTTGTCATAATTTTATTTTTTTAATTTAAAAACTTAAAAATATGCTTTTTCATTTTCAAGATAAAGCTGCATTTTTCAACTTATGGAAAAAAACAAAAAAGAAATATCACCCAAACTGCTTTTTTATGCTGCATTAATTAAAATTACATATATATAACATTTAATTTTTAAAAGATGTCACAAAAAAAGACAACATTTACATTGAAATGTTAAGTTTGAAAATATAAATGTATGAACAAAAATGCTTTTTTGGTTTTAAAAGTCACAGGTGCATATTTTGACTCATGAATAAATGAAATAGATCACTCAAATGCGTTTTCTTTCTCTTCTCCAAGGCTGCTCATTATGTCACACACTTTCAATGAGACATAAAATAATATTTAACATTTCATTTCAGCAAATAAATCTATCAATACTCATTTTAAAATGTCTAACTTGAACATTTTTCATTTTAAATTTGAAGCTGAAATGTTCCACTCATAAGGGAAATTGTTTTAAATTATGGAGTCATTCTTACAAGAAAGGCCATATTTCTTAAACTAAAATTTGAAAAAATACAGAAAAAATATATTTTAAGACTAAATCTGCTGTTGTCTTGGGTTTTGTTATTTCAAATTGCTGTTTTTTTTTTTTTTTGTAAAATTTGTGATTATAAAATCTGTAAAAGAACTTTTACTGATTTTATTATTACAAATTAGATTCCCCCCCCATTCTTTTCTAAGAATGTTTTTACTTTTATCTTTGTTTTTTTTATTTGAATTTTTCAGGTTGAGTTTAACAAATTGTATTATTTTCAAATTGCGTTTTAAAGCTCAAATTCTCTTCACTTTAAGCCCAATAAAAACTGTCAATCACTCCAGAGGAAAGCCCGCCCCTTCTCCCAGAAGCCAAGAGAATGGGATCTGGAAAAATGCAGCTTGAAAAGAATAAAACTTGTAAAATGTAATCTGCAAAAGAGAAATATGAATGAACATTGAAAATATAAATCTAAGGAAAATGTTTAAACATAATGTGAAAAAAATAACATGAAAAAATCTAAAATTGAAAAAAACAAAATCAGAGAAAACACAAAAGTTACTCTGAAAACCTTTTTTTATTCAAATATTTTTAAAATCACTGCTTCTGTCTTCTTGAATCCCAGTCGGCCTCGGCAGATGGCTGCTCACATTGAGCCTGGTTCTGCTGGAGGTTTTCTTCCTGTTAAAAGGGAGTTTTTCCTCTCCACTGTCGCTAAATGCATGCTTAGCGTGAGGGATTGCCTTTAAGTCAATGAGTCGATGCAATCAACTGGTTTTCCTTAGGTAGAAAACTTTGAATCAATTTGACTGGATGATCTGGTTGAATCGTCTCTATAAAGTGCCTTCAGATGACGTGTTATGAACATAAACTGAACTGAAATAAATATTTATTTTATAACAAAATATTTAATTTGAGAGAAAAAAATAGATATTCATTTAACAAGTTAGATATTATTTTCTAAATATACATTTTTTAATATTTAATTTTATTATTATTATTATATTATTTATAATTAATAATTATTTTAGAAATGTAATATTTATAAATGTATGAATTATATGGTGATGATAAGATGTTGAAATATTGACCCCATTTTATTCACTGATTTGGGGCTAATAAGTTAAAATATTGCTGCGAATATTTGACTGGATAACTTTACAAACGGCACCCCATATAAAGACAGTTTTTAATAATTGAATCCAGAGTAGAGGCAGGCGACTGGTCCCAGGAAAGCTTCTCATCAACAATCCGACCTTTGGACCCCTTCGATAACTGAGAGGAGCTGATATCTCAGTGTGAATCATGTGAACCTCTCAGTAGGACTTACCCCGAGCAAGGGACCCCGACCCAGCACCGTCTCACCCGGCGGCAGCGGGACTACATCACCGCTGTCCACCCGAACCAGTCCGAAACCGGACATGAGGCTTTGCTCTGGGGCGGGACTGAGAGCGACTCTTCCCAGACACCCTGCTTGTTTTTCGGCACAGAAACGGGATAAGATTTAAAAGTTTGATTCTGGGGGAAATACGAGCAGCAAAAGGTTCGGAGAATAAACTATTTGAAAACTTTTAAATGATGGCGAAAACCAGTCAACAGACCAAAAACAAGAGGCTCCGCGGGATTCCCGCAACTCTCCTGCTGGATTCAAAACTTCCGGGTTACAGGAGAGCATGCGCAATAGAGACGATGGCCAGACTCCGTCCCAGAAACATACATTTTTAATATATTATTGGTTAAATATTAAAATACTTTCAATATCTCACATCTTTTTTCACTATAGATAATACTTTTTAATACGGCATATCTATTTTAACAGAATAAAAAATGCTATTATTTATTTAAAAAAAATTAGTACTTTCAAATTTTAAATGTAACGGCGCATGCGCTCTTCGCTCATGCGCGCTGACGTCGGCGTAAACAACCGTTGGGGCATTTAAAGAGCTCAGCTGCCAAGTGTTTCTCCAATCAAGGTAAATGAGACGCAATTTTAAAGATTTAGATTATTCAAATGTCACTAGATTAACTCTGATGGGAAGTTTAATAATTAATGGAAACAGTTTATTGGGAATTTCCAGCCGGAAATCTGCTGCTGAGCTTTACGGAGAGGAGGCGAAATGTGGCAGAGACACTATAATTAATCATCACTGCGGGATGAAAATCTGTCCTGTGTGTCCACAAACTGTTTTATGACAATCATTGTGTGGTTTTAATAACCTGCAGCGATGCAGGTCCAAATAGAAGAAAAAGCAGCGGTTCGTAGTGACCGTCCGGATGGGCTCCTCCGAGGATATGATCTTAGAAAATAAACCGAGTATTTTGATCGTTTTATATTAGTGGTTCAGCTTCATATTTGTTTTTTATTCCCGGTTTCACAAAAATAAATGAAATAAATAAATAAAAAAAAAGCTTCAAGGTTCCTCACAGAGGACCTGGAGTCTGACACATGCCTGGGGACCTGGATAGCAGAGGCGTAGCCAGAAAATGTTTATAAGGGTGACCAGGCAATAACCAATGTACAGTTAGGGTTGGCCGAAACTATATAGGCACCAGAACCCAATGGCGTAAATATAGGTAAGCAGAGTCTGCAGTTGCTTACGGCCCCCGACCTTTTAGGGGCCCGCGTCACTGACTCCTGTTAGGCCCACTCGCAATTGTGGATTAGGACGTCTGATTGCAGACGTAATAGTGCGAAAAATTCCTCTCAAAACCCACCTGATTTTAAGATAACCAACCGGACCTTATTAATACCCCAAGGCATGTCAGATTTTAACATGATGGTGAGCCGTTTAAACACGACACCAATAACAAAGCAGACACTGGTACTTTTAATTACTATGTTAATAACTGTGTATAGTTCATTAGACAGTTGGTAAAAAATACACATTTAATATATTTCAAACCACAATCTATGATTTCACTGAAGACTCCTAGATGACTTGCAGAGACACATTTCTAAAAACAAAATCTAGTTCTGAAACGAGCATGAATTCTATAATTATCATCTTTGATGTTAGTATATTGATGTGTATAATTAACCACAAAAAAATAAAATGTTTTGAATATTCCACTTGAGAGTATTACTACTGCCACCATCTGTATTGGAGGCAAAAAAATGGTATGGGTGGCTAATGATTGGCTAAGGGTGGCCATGGCCACCCCTGACCCCCATCTAGCTCCGCCCCTGATGGATGGGTGTGTGTAATGGCAGCCTTAGAAGCTTAGAGTTAAGTTAGAGAATTTTTCAACAATTTTCCCCTTTAAAAAAGAAAAAGGTACCTGCTGGTGAGATGAAGCCTCATGAGGCATTGAACCGTTTGGCCAAATTGCTTCAACGATCCCCACAGTTCATGAAGCCTCATGTCACCACCTACTGGTGGAGTGCAGAACTACAGTTCGTAATATAATTGTGATTTTTTTTTTTTTTTTTTGCAATATTGTTTTTCTTGTTTTTTTTAAAAGTATAAGTTAATTACAAGTTCATTTGAAATTGTTAATGTTTGGTCTGTATAATAAAATCTTTAGTAAGTTTTTTGTTTATAAAATGTCTTAGAAGAGAACAATAATTTTAGATGCACAGTTTTTCTGCCATTTCAGTGAAATAAGCTCAAGCAGACGGTGAAAGTGTTTGTGCGAATTGGGCAATGATGAGAAAATGAAAGGTGTTAGTCATTTTTATTTAAACATCATAGTTTTTCAACGGTTTATGGTTTTTATCGGGTTGGAAGTTATTTTGTTTGTATTTATTTGTGTTTTTACCAATCTATATTTATACTAGGGCAAAAATGCTATTTAGTCACATTAGCCAAAATACTAATTCTGTTTTATCAAAACTTCTAAATGTCTGCGGGGATCTTGAAGCAAAAACCCACATATTGGAAGTCAATCTCTTACACCTGACACCACTAATCTATCTATGATCAGTGGCTTGTTCAGATTTTAATAATTAGATTGTTTAATCCAACCAAACTATTTTTGACCAACTAGATTGGTTGTAAAAAAAACACCAATCTATTCTTAGGATACATCCAAACTCTTTCCACCTCTCCTACAAACTCCCACATCCTGACTAAGTACTGAGGCTTGTTAAATGCCTGCCGAAGTTTGTCAGGTAGCGAGGCTTCAGAAGTCATCTAATTCGGCTCCTCCCCCAAATGAAGCAAGCCTTGATACGTGCCGTGCGGAAACACCCTCTCCAGTACTCCACATACACCTCGAAGCCTCGGCTCATCTCACAGGAAGATCTTTCGCTCTGGACCTGAACTGTGATCCTTGCTTCAGGGTTGAAACGTCTCCTCAGGTTGTGATCCTTCTCGTCTGTTTCAGGTGGTCCACCCTGTTGGAGGATTATGCAGCATGAGTCTGCAGGGCCCTCGCCAGTGTTTCTGCTCTGTGAAGGAAGAGCCTCCCTGAAGCCACTAGAAGCTTCCAGCCATCAGAACTTTGCAGAGACACTTCCCACAGAGATGAGCGTGAGGATCTTCAGAGAGCTCGATGTGGAGAGTCTCTGCAGGGCCTCCAGGACATGCAAGCTGTGGCACTCCATCATCAGTCAGAGCGAGCAGCTGTGGAGGCAGCAGTGCCTGCTGGTCCGGGTTGTCTGTCAGCGTGAGGTGGACAGCGATCGGAGAGATGGGCTCTCCTGGAAGGTGGGTCTCTGCTGCGCCGCACTCTCATCTAAATCTGGGTTCTAGTTTAAAGTCATTTGGGGTCTAATTTCTTTAGATTTTTTGATACATTTTGATCGATAATATGGAGTAAATTTTGTTCCATTATTGTTGAAAACAGCGGGTTTTAGAGATGAAAATTTGAAGAAAAATAAAAGGCTATCCAGAAATTATGAAAAATGTTTTAATTAACAAAAAATGTTTGAGAGCAACTTAGCTGTATTCTCAGTTTGTTTTCTTTATACATTTTTTCCACCTTTTTTATTATTTACTTTTTTCACTTTTAATCTTTTTTTTCTTTACAAATTTTATATTCTTTTTTTTTTTTACTTCAAATGTCTGTTTTTCAGATTAATTTTATGAATTGTTTTCAAATGGCAATTCACTTCTGGGGGCGGTGCTTTCCTCTGCAGTGAGGAGCAAAGATGCATTTCTATTGGCCTGCATCAACGTTAGCAGCAGGACTTTTATTAGTCAAGAGCAAACTTTTGTATTCGGTCAAAAATGTGATCTGTGGAAAATAAAGTCAATCTGAAAAAAAGAAATTTGAAGAAAAAAATTTGTAAATATTACAACTGTAAACAAAAAGGTATAAATTTATTTAATTCAGTTCATTTATTTATCACCAATTCAACACATCATCTCAAGGCACTTTACAGAAACAATGCAACCACATCATACAGTCAGATTGGTTCAAAGTTTTCTATCCAAGGAAAACCTGCTGATTGCCTTGACTCATTGACTTAACAGCAATCCCTCACACTAAGCATGCATGTAGCAACAGTGGAGAGGAAAAACTTCCTTTTAACAGGAAGAAACCTCCAGCAGAACCAGGCTCAGTGTGAGCGGCCATCTGCTGAGGCCCACTGGGGTTCAAGAAGAAAGAAGCAGACATATAGAAAGTGGCAGAGATAAAAAAAAGGCACATTTTATTTTGTCAAAGTTTGAGTAAATAAAATGTGAAAAGGAAAACTAAACTTGAGAAACAGGAAATGTTGATCTCAAAACCTTTTTTTCATTGAGAAGTTTCATTGCTGGGTTGCATTTTTCTTTTTTAAATTTCAATTTACACACTATGGTTTTTACCAAATAATGGAACAAAATTCCTTCTATAGTTTTCCCTCGTCCCGTTCTTTCGCTCTGTAAACTGTTTCCTGTCTGAATGGGAGGCCTGGCCTGGTCGACCTGTAGACCTGAAACTGAACACGTCTGCCTCTCCTCCCAGGTGACCCTGCTTAGGAACTACACCCGAAGCCGGGTGAAGACCGACTGGCTGACGGGACGCTACAGCAGGGTGAGATCTGCAGACGAGCTGCTAAAGAGGAAGATGGTGCCGCTGGATGCAGAGACGTGGGGAGAGATCCTGCAGGCTGAGCTCGACAGATGATGATGATGTTAGGTTTTTATTTTGCAGCCCCAGAAGCACTTCTCTCTAATTTGACTCTAATATATGTTTTTTTTTACTCTGAGTTCACTTTATAGTATTACAAGCGATTGTACATATATTTTTTAATGTTTTTAATGCAAAATAATCATGGAAAATGAATCGGTTTGATGTAAAAAACAGCTGAGCTGAAATTAAACCTGTATTTATCAAACTCTGCTGGTTTGATCAGTTTTTCTGGTCTGTTGCTCCAACAAGCAGAACTCGGTGGCTCAGAACCAGCATATACAGCTACAAATCCAGTTAGGCGGGGGTGTTCAGTGTAGCTTCCTGGTATCACTGCTGCCCCTAGTGTCTATTCCAGAAATGGCAGCATATTGCACATAAGCGTCCCATAGTAGTTCCCATTATTATGACTGATTTAACCAGGTGAAGCTTCATTGAGATAAACATCTATTTTCCAAGAGGGACTTGTAAAGGGCAGCAAAAGAAAAAAACAATAAAATGAAATATACTTTGAATTACTCACTTAAAATTGGCTAAAGAGCCAGAATCCAGGAGCCAGATCCAGTTATAGTGGCCCTCCAGGAAGGACCTTACATTTCCCAGTAGTCACCATCATGGTTAGTTTCAGATAGGTTTAGGCTTCATTCCAGGCAGAGGAAGCAGTATGTTTAAAAGCTCCCTGACCAAGTTCAGTTCTGACTCTTCAGAATAATAAAAGTCCTTAGAGTGAAGTTCATGAGGATTAAGAGACTTTGTGATAAAAAACAGACAGATATGGAGGAATGAGACAAAGTATTTGTATACAAACAGCAGCAAATGTGAAAGTCTACGAACAGACAGAAGGACGAACAGCAGCAGTGCGTATGATGGTGGATATGATGTGCACAGCCGGGGTGGAGTAACTAACAGGCAAATCTAGGCTGTTGGGTTAAATGCAGAGTTAATTTCTCCAATGTTAGATCAATAAAGTTGAATTATTATAGCCTTTGGGGAGGATCTGTCGTGGAGATGAATGACTAGTGAGTGTGAAAGATGTTGAAGGCAAGGTTTATTTCCCTTTAAATTTGTACTTATAGATTTCCCCTTAAATTTATAAGTACACCGGTTTTATTGCCCCATTGAAGACAGGAAAGCCAACAGGTCAGTCTGAAGTGAGCTTTAAATTTGTTTTGGTTTGTTTTTGATGAATATGAGAAATCAATCATGATTTTTTTTTTCTTGTTAAATTAACAGTAAAACTTCCGGCTTTGGGGGTTCTTAGGTTAATGACTGTTGATCTCATTATAAGATTTGCTGAGGCTAAGAATAGCAAATATGATTTTAGGGACAAAATGGAGAAAATAAAAATTTTAAGAAAAAAGACGGAATGAAAAAGGAGAGGGAACATTACGAAAGGTAATAAAAAATAATGCATTTGTACTTTAAGATGTGTGAATTAATATAACATCACGTCACAATTACGTTAATGAATATAAAGTGACATAATACTTTTTAGGGGGTCACCACTATAGATAAGTTTGTCTCTAACAAGCTTAAACTGGTTCTCTGTATCAATCTGGTCCCACCACTAATACTTTGTTTTCCATGTATAAGTAAAGATTCTACATAGTTAATAATAAACTAATGCATAAAATGGATAATTTTATCCTAAAAAAATCCTATATATAGAATCATTATTCATGGAGGATAAATATAAATGTGTCCTTTGGGCTCAACATCTTAATTAGGGTGATCAGGAGAATCACAGAGGAATAGAAAATAAATGAAGGTGAATTAAACAGGATTATAATCAAAATGTGGAAACTTTGATCTGAATCAGAGACATAAATCATTAAAACACTTTATCTCAATTTATAGGATAAATTAAATAAAACGTGAGATTCCATAGAGAGAGAGTTTAAAATCAGTAAATTTAACATAAACACTCGGATTGATGAATCGGATGAATTGAATCTAAAGGAAAGCTCCATCCGGATCCGCTCTTATTGTGAAAGGTTGGACCGGAAGCAGTATCCGTGCAGCGGCTCTCTCCTCAGCATCCTCTCCTCCAGCCCGGAGTCCAGGAGAAGCTGCATCATCCCGGGAGCATGGACGACGTCCCGCCGATCATCATCATCCAGATCGCCCTCCGGATCCAGCCGAACGACGGACCCGTCTTCTTCAAGGTGGACGGAAGCCGCTTCGGTCAGAGCCGAACCATCAAGCTGCTGACGGGCTCCAAGTACAAGATCGAGGTGGTGCTAAAGCCCGGAACCGTGGAGGCCACGTAAGGAGACGGTTTGGGTTTGCTGAGCGCGTGCATGTTCGTGCATGTCCTCTGGTGATGGGGAGACCGGTGGGAGAGGGGGGGTCCCGCATCACCAGGGTTATGGGACCTCCTCCTCTTCCTCCTCCTCATCATCATCATCCTCCTCCTGCAGGCCGCATCATTGCCTCGCGCTGAATAAATCATGCGGGATCAGGTTCCAGGGTTGCGGTTTGCAGGCAGAGGAGCTCCAACATGTTTGGTTGTTGGAAACAAACAAAAACCTGAAATAAACTGAACTTCTGTCCATTTAAAGTACGGATCTCCTGAGGCTCAGCTGCAGGCATAAAGGAGGAACCTGAGGTTCTGGTGGATCTCTGGGTGCTGAATGGGCTGAATGCCTCAAATTCATCATAATCCGAGGCTCAGTTCTACCAATAAGAAAACCAAACCTTTATATCTGTCTGGATTATCATAATCCTGCCAGAGTTCTCCTCAATGATCAGTCAGATGATCCCATCTGGAAACTATGGAAGAGGATTAGGGCCACAAAAAAAAAAAAAGTTAACTGGTTTTTACATTTTATTTCAGTATAATGTGAGAAAAAAGTCAGAATTCTGAGATTAAAGCCAGAATTCTGAGAAAAAGTCAAAATTCTGAGATTAACGTCAGAATTCTGAGGAAATAAAAAATCAGAATTTTGAGATAAAAGTCAGAATTCTGAGATTAAAGTCAGAATTCTGAAAAAAAGTCAGAATTCTGAGATTAAAGTCAGAATTCTGAGATTAAAGTCAGAATTCTGAGGGGAAAAAACAAAATCTGAATTCTGAGATTAAGGTCAGAATTCTGAGGAAATAAAAATCAGAATTCTGAGAAAAAAGTAAGAATTCTGAAATTAAAGTCAGAATTCTGAGGAAAAATATGGGAGAATTATCCTGCCATAATGCAAGAGCACATAATTTCAATTTGAGAAAAGAATTTCATCTTCTTGCACTCAAAACTTATAATGCTCAAACTCAAAACATGCGCTCTCTCTCAAATATTTTCTCTTCTCTCTCAAATCTTTGTTTCTTCTCTCAGATTTAATGCTTCTTGCACAGATATTTTCTCCTCTCGCTTGCCTCCTTCTCTTTGCGCACAAACCGCGCTCTGCTCGAGTCTCAGTTACGCTCGCAAACCCGTAGGCTCTGCTTGCGGATTTTTTTTGCTCTCTCTCAAATTGGATCGGATCGTCGCCTAGCAACCTTTCCAGCCAATAGAACGACAGTCTCAGAAAGGGTGCGCTTGTCTAACTCTATGGAGTGTGCCTGTGATAAACCTTACCGACAATAAAACGGCTTTTTAATTTAAAAATTATCCATTTTCAGACGTGACGTGATGTGAACAGAAAACTCCCGCCTCAGAGTTGCTCGTCAGAAAAAAAAAAAGTTTGCTAGTCAGGGCAGATGCTAATTTTGCCTCCAGCAGAAATTAAGTGACTCTTCATTGGTGATTCTTGAATCGCCCTTTATTATTTCCTTTTTTTATTTTCCTGATTGTTGTTGTTTTTTAGCTTCTTATTTTAATAGCTTTTAAATTAAAAAGCCATTTTATTGGTTTTATAAGGTTTATAAGGTTTATCACAGGCACACTCAGTAGAGTTAGACAAGCGCACCCTTTCTGAGGCTGTCCTTCTATTGGCTGGAAAGGTTGCTAGGCGACGATCCGATCCAATCCGAGAGAGAGCAAAAAAAATCCGCAAGCAGAGCCTACGGGTTTGCGAGCGTATTTGAGACTCGAGCAGAGCGCGGTTTGTGCGCGAAGAGAAGGAGGCAAGCGAGAGGAGAAAATATCTGTGCAAGAAGCATTAAATCTGAGAGAAGAAACAAAGATTTGAGAGAGAAGAGAAGATATTTGAGAGAGAGCACATGTTTTGAGTGTGAGCATTATAAGTTTTGAGTGCAAGAAGATGAAATTCTTTTCTCAAATTGAAATTATGTGCTCTTGCATTATGGCAGGATAATTTTCCCATAGAAAAAGTCAAAATTCAGAGATTAAAGTCAGAATTTGGAGGAAAAATAATCTGAATTCTGAGATTAAAGTCTTCCTGTGTACTACTGCCACCATCTGGTGAGGAGTGTAACAGCAACAGGGTTGTAGATTTGTTCTGTAAATTTGTTATTTGTGCCTGTAGTTTTAAAAAGTAATGAGCTGACAAGGGGAAAAAAATGAAAACCTCTAATTTACGCATATTTCACTTGTATTTATAAATTCCGTCATTTACCTCACAGACATGTTTCAGTTGTGAGGTGGATCAGAGATGCAACAAGTCCTCCAACTGTTAGGAACCCTGAGATGATCATGTGATAAATTAGTCGTCCTCCTCTTCCTTGCAGCAATATGAACATTGGGGGAATTATCTTCCCTTTGGAGCAGCAGTCCAGGGATGAAGAGTCAGTGGTTTATCACGGCCAATACGACACAGAGGGCGTCCCACATACGAAGAGCGGGGACCGCCAGCCCGTCCAAGTCAGCATTGAGGTGAGACGAGACACATGAAGCTGTAGAGGTTCAGGCAGTACATCCTCCGGTGAAGCAGGATTATAGATGAACTTATTTGTTTGAATCTGGTGAAAGTTTGGCAGAGATGTTCCTGCCCACTTTCCCTTCTTCTTTTCTTTCATGTTGTTCACATAGTTTATCCTCAGTATATTTGAAATCAGTGACGCTCTTCCGCTTCTCTCAGTTTAGTTTGAATAAAAGCATTGTGGAGGATTTTCAATTTTTTTTTACAAGACCCGCCCTCACCACTTAAAAAAAAAAATGCACGTGCGAGAGCGTGCACAGACCCATTTGTCCTTGTGCACGCTCTGTTTAAAAGTTGCTGTTCTGAGCTCATACAAGCTTACTGTGCCCGAACATCCAACCTAACCGTCCGGTACTGCTGGATGCAGCCAAGACCCCGTCAGCATGATGGCGCAGCAGTTACTCATCTCCTTTTTTGAAGAGAGTTCCAGTCGGAGATTATCCATTTTGTTTTCCATCGAGTGGACGTTGGAGAGCAGGATTGATGGAAGCGGCGGTCTGTGGGGATCTCTCTTTAGCTTCGCAGTTAGCCCCCCTCTGCAGCCTCGCTTTCTCCATCTCTCGCATCTCTTCCTCCATCTGTTATTTTCCACTGTTGTGTTGTTGACATCCGCCCGTAGCACTCCGCAGCTTTTTAAACGGTCAAAAATGTCAGTATTTAAAACATTTTGTGTCCGTAGCTCCAGCAGGTGTTGGCGATCATAGATGCAGGTTTGATGTCTAGTTTGTATCGTTTTAAGCAGCATATTTTGTAAAAATTGTCAAGAGGAGCTGCTTTTGTCCGCTGCCTTGTAGCGCCGCCATGGTAACAAAGTTAAAAGTTGAAACTATATAGTGGATTTCATAGTGAACCCAGTTAACTGACCGTTCGGACAGATGATCACTACTTTTTTGCCCCGTTGGTCACGTAACTCCTCCTCCACCACACAGTGTCTGCGCCATCTTCGTTATTAGTCGCCCCTGTCAGGTAGCAGCAGCCTATGGCGACAGCAGGCCACTGTGACACCATATCCCATAATGCTTTGTGAGGAGAGCTCTCCACACAAAGCATTCTGGGATATATTTGCCTCTTCTGAGGCCTTTCTTTTCTTCTCATACACTTGGTAGACACTTTTTCTCTTACAACCCTCAGCCATTTTCAAAGAACCTCGGTGAGAAAGGTGAGCGCCGTAAAGTGCGCATGCGCAGAAAATGATAGCTAACAGGAGGAGCAATTAGGACGGCCTTACGTAAACATATCACCAGAATGATTGACAATTAGGAGGACCACTGATCCACGTGGAAATAAAAGATCAATTCAATAGAATAAAGCTGAGTTTGGAGGAATGGATATTTAATAAACTTCTCAATAAAAAAAGACTTTTGAGAGTAATTTATGGGTATGCAAAGGCTTAAACCAATATTTTTACAGGTTGCTTTTTAATTTTTTTTTTCCAAATGTAATTTTTATTTATTTCTGAGTTTTACAGAATAAAATTTTTTTCAATCCCATTTTTTTATATATTTCACGCAAATCTATTGATCTGTGCGCAGACCAATAGAAATGCTAATGCTAATATCCATGGAGTAGGCTTATTTCTATTGGTTCCTGCAATCATAAACCAAAAGAGTAGAGCTGAAATCTATAAAACCAGATTTGAAAAAAATGCTGTTCATAAAAAAAACTCAGGCTTACGGAGCCCCTAAAGGGACATGGAGGAAAAAATAAACTTTTGCGAGATTTTGCAAAGTGTTTTGCGAAATGTCGCTCAAGGTTTTACCATGTCAGGGAACCGGAAGTAAAACAGACACACAACAGTGGAGGAAACTATTGCAGGATATCGCAAAAGTTTATTTTTTCCCTCCATGTCCCTTTAGGGGCTCCGTACAGGCTCACCAAAAAATGTGACAAAAATAAAATATCCAAAAATATAATAAAAAAAAAAAAATCTACAAAACAAACTGTAAAAATTTGAACTTTTGCTTACAAAACAAAAATACCACTTTTACACATTTTTTTTTTTACAATTTTTGTTTTTGACTAAACAGAAATTTGGACCAAATTTCTCTCTATAGATGAGTTCCTTCCAGCAGTTCTGCTGGTGCAGGAAACCCTGAGAAGGAGCAGGAGTTCTGATGTTGGGTCTGGTTTCTCTGACTGTCTCTGCAGTTCAACAAGGCTGGGACGTTCGAGACGGTCTGGCAGGCCAAGTACTACAACTACTACAAGAGGGAGCACTGCCAGTTCGGCAACAAGTTTACCAACATTGAGTACGAGTGCAAACCCAACGAAACGCGGACCCTGATGTGGATCAACAAGGAGGCGTTCAACTGAGCCGGACGTCAGCAGGACACACCGTCCCCCGTTTGTTTGTCCAGGTCCTGATGGTTGTTCTGTCCTACCAGCACCCCGATCAAGTCAGCTGTTTGCCCTTCTGGTCTCCAAATGAATGAAGCTGTTGGTCACAAAGTAGCTAAAATCAACACGATGTTCACTGAAGACCAGAAAAAATAACAGCTGAGTTCTGTTGAAAAGTTCTGATCCAGTCCCTGTTCTTCTCCTAAGCAGCCATTCTTCCTTGAACTGTTAAACTGGTGAACGGTTCTCCTGGGTTTCTGAAGTTACACAGTTCCTTCAGGGCGTTCTGGTTCTGCTTGGCATGTCGGCTCACCTCCCTCACTGCTAGAGATCCATCCTTCCACCATTGAGGACCACCAGAACACCCGTGACCTGGTTTTTCTGGCACCTTGGGAGAAAAATCAAGACTGGATGGGAACTTTTTACCAGGACTGGATCAGATTGTGGTCCACGAGGCAGATGATGTTTGAGTGTTCTGATAATTTATTTGTATGTTTTGGTTTAAAATGAGAAACTCGCCTTTAATAATGGAATCATGGAAAATAAAGGAGCTTCTTTGTTGAGCCTTGGAGCGTTTTTCCGGGACTATTTTCAGCAGCGGATGAATCCCGTCGTCCTGTTGAACACCCCCAGGCTTCTTTTCCTTCAAACTGTGCTTTTCTGTCTGCTGCAGCTCCTGATTTCTCTGCACTTGAAGCTACATTTTGCCAAATTTGATCTGTTGCTTGTTGTTTTGTATTTAGCTGTAGTGTAGCTGTGAATAAAGCAGTGTCCTGAACATCCAGAACCGGGTCCAGCATCTCGGGGCGGTTCCTCAGAGTCTGTGGAACCTGAGTGGATCAACCTGATGGATCTCTTCTTTTTCCTAAATCTCTTAGTCAACATGTCCTTATGCCAATGAAAAAATATATATATCCTAAGAACCGTCACTTAAACAGAATTTTTTATGAAATAAATCAATCAAAGGCAATTGAGAATTAAGCTAGCAGGGATCAGGCCTGGTTATTGTATTGATTACAAAACAAGCAGGTGTGTAAAATCAAAAGATCAAAAGTTTTCATTAGATTAAATTCTCTGATCTTATTTAACCGGATCTTTTCTGTGTTGTGTTGGTTAATTGTGAATCTATGAGGTTTATCTGGTTATTCTGAGCTGGACAAACAGAAAACAACTGCTTAACGGTCATACGCTCCAAGTCCTAAGGCTCCACTATCAGTTCCAACAATAGTTATTTCCAATGTAAATACCATACAGTAAAAATACTGTAAGCTGTTTAGTTTTAATACATAAAATATGCTAAAGTATGCTAGCTCCTGTGGCGCTACCTTCGTACAATCAAAACAGCTGTTGTGATTTTATGTTCTTTTCTATTCCCAGCCCGCTGGGAATTTATGTTTCTGATACTTTAAGATGTTTATTGTCCTCCCCTGAAGGGGTGGTAAAATATCTTATTTAATCAGATATTGTTTCAGCTGTTATATACTGTTTATGAAAAGCATAGTAATAATAATAATATTTTTTAAAGCAGTTAAAGATTCCAACAAGCAAACTCATAATATAATTACCTTAAAATATATTCTGATGGTTCTAAGAATTTAAAAGGGTGTGTGGGAATAGGAATATATTTACCAGAGTTCAAAATACAAATTTCTAAAAGAATTTCAGATCAACTATCTGTTTTCACAGCAGAGATGGTGGCAGTTATACTGAGTTTCCAATGGGTGGAGGAGGTCAGACCAGACAAGTATTCAGGGAGAAGGAAATAATAGGAAAGATTTAGTATTAGAAATTCAGCACAGTTTATTTAGATTATACAGGAGTGGCATTGATATTTGGTTTTGTTGGGTTCCAGCACATGAAGGGGTAAAAGGAAATGAAAAGGCAGACAAATTAGCAAAAAGGGCTTTAGAGGAGGCAATAACAATTACAATTCCTTTAGGGAAAGGGGAAGGAAAATCATTTATTAAGAGGAAAGAAATTGAAAAATGGCAAAAAAGGTGGAATGAAGATAAAAAGGGAAGAAGGTTATATAAAGTACAAAAGTCAGTATTAAATAGAAATATTAATGAGAGAAACCGAAGAGAAGAAATAATAATGATCAGATTAAGAGTAGGTCATACTTATTTAAATGACAATTTTTCTTAATAGGGAGGAAAAATAATGATAAATGTGAAGGATGTGGAGAGATAGAAAATGTAGAACACCTATAGAAAGAGTTGAAAGGACAGGCCAAGAATGGAGTCTTAAAGGATTATTGGGAAATAAAGGAAATATAAAAGATATTTATAGATTAAGGAAAGCATTATTTATTTATCTTCAGAATACAAAATTAAAAAATAGAATTTAATAGATGTAAAACAATGTTGCTACACACTCATGAACAGTAGGTGGCGGTATGCCCGCCCCTTCCCTAGAGCCCGGTGGGAGCGAAAACATTTTGAATGGAAATCATTGGGGAGAAATTAATAAACCTTTGGTCCCAGTCGCTCTCTGTCACTGATTCTAGATATGCTGGTTGTGTATTTAAATTTTTTTTTTTTTTTTTTAGTTCCTCTTTGGTATTTCGGATCCTGACGAGATCCGAAATACCGTAGCAAAAACTAGCAAGCGGGCTATTATGTATGTTCACTAAGCAAATATTATGTAAATAAACCCTACACTTCTCTCTATAAATGTAATCAAAACCCATTTAAATGCAGAAACTGATTGAAATTATTGATTTTCCCACTAAAAGTTAGAGAAATCTCAGCCATGTTTATACCAAAACGTTACAGTTTCACATTATCTTGAAAAATCTTTGCAAGAAACGAACAAGCAAGTGAATATGTACATTCCCTGAGTAAATATTCTGGCAACAAACTATACATTTCTCACTAGAAATGTAATCAAAACTCATTTTAATGCAAAAACAAACTCAAGTCATTAATCTTTCCACAAAAAAATGAGCGAATGTCGGCCATATATATATTTTTTCTTCTTCTCCCAGCTGGAATCTTGAAAGTCACGTGACTAGGACGTAAAACAATAGAAAGCGTATAGGCAGAAGAAACGTAACAGTACCACAAAAAAATGGCCATTAATGTACCTCCACTACGTTTTGCAGTGTGGACCAACGTAGTGGGGGTACATTTTAACATGAGACTGGGTTGGCTGGAGATGCGGGCCCCAGGGGAACCAGATCTCCAGAACCATCAAGGATAAGTCAGAACCTTTCAGAACCAAACTGTTATAAAACAGACCTTTTGCAACACATTTCTCTTGAGTTTCAGAACTTATAGAGCCAGACTGGAGAGCTCTGCCTGATGAATGACTGAGACAAAGAACCAATGCTGTGCCCTGACTGCAGAGCTGCAAATGGATGAAACTCAAGCTTTCCAAATGGACATGGAAAAAGGTTTGCAGGTCTGGCATGATTAGGGACAGAACAAGCAACATGTCTTTTGATGATGCTAATCATATCATGTGTTTACTGCTAAGTAAAGACGACGCTAACTGATGCTAAAGAATGGACTGCATGCTACACTGATAAAAATGACTTTTTGGGGTGTTGTGTTGAACTCTGGATAGCGCTTTATTTTTCAAAAAAATTGCTGCTCACTCCTTGGGCAACGTCAACGTTATCTCTTATACCAAAACAGCACAAACGCTAATTTTTTAAACAGTTTTAACAGTAGATGTTACACAATGTCCCTTTAAATATTCAAGTTAAGAAGAAAGTAGTCAAACAAACAGAGGTATTCTTGTGTTCATTCTTCCATGATAAATAAGTCACTTTGATTCATGCAGCTCTTTTATTTGTTTCTCAAATAAAAGAATAAATATTATTTTCTGTTGTGCATTACATGCAGGAGGACAATCGGTGTGACTTCAACAAACATATCTTCAAGATTGTTGTTCTCCATGGTGCTGATGAGGATCCCATTAATGTCTCCATCCTTGTTGAAGGCCAGGAGATTTTACCACCATGCCACAGTACTGCAAAAGCCTGATCGCTGCTCATGGGACTGATATATGCGCTGAACTTGGCATACCCTCTCCCTTACACTTTTGAAGTGTTCCAAAAACTTTTCCTGGAGTTGGATGGATTCAAACTATCAGCAAAAGTAAACAACTTGAAGTTAAAGTTGCTTTCATCTTAGAGGAGGCAAATGTGGCATCAAATGCCAAGTGGGTTCCAATGTTTTATTTTTTTTTTCCAAGCAAGGTATGTTATTTGGCCAAAAATAATATGTTTACATTTTTAGTAGAGATTTTTATGTTTATTGAGAATGGTTAGAATGATTTTGATTCATTGTCGAAATTGCATTCTTCAAAATCCACTTGTCTGGACACCTGGTTCAAATGTTGAAATTGCACTTTTTGTGTGCAGGTTTGTAAGATTTTTATTGCTGATTTGAGTGGTGATTATTAACTGTTGCTTTTACAACAGTTTCCAGTAACTATAAAAAGTAATTAAGTTCAGATGAGAAATAGCTGAAATATAAACAGGGGGGGGGGGACTAAAGACATATATATATAATCTCAAAGTATTTGTCTTAACTGTGTAACGAATCAAAATGTGTTTGAGACAGAGAATCCCTGAACCTCAGAACAGCATCCTGAGGGATGTCGTAAAAACAGATTTTTCCTAAATGTAGAGCAAGTTACGTAAACTGCCCACATCTCCAAATGCATAACAGGGAGCAGATTTGAAGTTAAATTAAAATGCATCCCAGTCTGTGGAGAACTTTGCCCAAAGTTTATGATGGGATGTTTATTGCAAGATGAAGAGTCCGATTAGTACACATTTTGTCACAATAAAACGACAAAGGAGGAGCTGGTCCAACAGTTTGATTTTGGAAACCTTACAAGACCAATTCAACAACAGGTTACATCAGGCACAACATTCTCCATAGAGCAGACTAGTGAATCCGTTGTGCTTGATGCCATAAATACAATTAAACAAAGCAACTGCATGGATCTCTCCCACATTAATACTGCTTTCGTAAAGCGAAACAAAAATGCACTCATAAAACCTCTAACGCATGTAATTAATTTGTCCATTGAGAGCGGGCAATTCCCTGCACCCTGGAAACAGGCTAGAGTTATGCCTATCTTTAAGTCAGGATCCCAAGACCAGGCCTGTAACTATCGGCCTATAAGCATCCTGCCTGTATTTTCTAAGGTGTTAGAAAAAATAGTCTCCAATCAGTTAATGGCGTACATACAGTATCATAAAATCTTACATCCTTTACAGTTTGGCTTCCGACCTCATTATTCTACGGATACAGCAAACTGTTATTTTGTTGAACAAATAAAGTTGGCAATAGACAGCGGGGAAATAGTAGGCGCAGTCTTTTTGGATCTCAAAAAGGCATTTGATACGTTAAATCATAAAATTCTAATTACAAAATTATCCAAATTAAAATTTTCACCGAAAACTTTACAGTGGTTTGAATCATACTTAGAAGGAAGAGAGCAGTGTGTCACAATAAACAATGAAAAATCATCATTTTTAAAGATAAATACAGGAGTGCCACAGGGATCCATCCTTGGCCCTCTACTATTTACATTATACATAAATGACTTGCCAGAGTCTTGTCCAACAGCAGGTTTTCAGTTATATGCAGACGATGCAGTAATTTATGTTCGTGGAAAGACTGTGCAAGCAGTTTCTAATGAACTGTCAGGACATCTACAAACTGTGTCAGTGTGGTTCCATAATGCAGGGTTGTCTCTGAATGTTAAAAAAACTATGTCTGTCTGTTTCTCTTCTAGGACCAAGCTCATATCTCAAGAACTAAATTTACAGATAAATGGAGCTAGAATCCAGCAGGTCTCAGAAATCAAGTATCTAGGACTAATACTTGACTCACAATTGAAATTTGAAAGCCATGTAAAAAAAGTGTCCAGAGTAACAAAAGCAAACTTGTACACATTCAAACTGATTAGAGATTCCCTACCGTTTCACGCTGCTCACAGTTTTCTGCACTCCATGATCTTTTCACATCTAAGTTACTGCATTAGTTCTTGGTCAGAGGCCACAAGCACTACTATCGAGCCTCTTCAGATGATCTATAATAGAGCTATAAAAATCTTAGATAAAAAACCAGTCAGGTCTCATCACTGTGTTAGTCTGAACAATTTAAAAATGCTGAATTTCGAAAACTTTGTGAAATTTGCTCAGTTAAAACTGGTATATAAATGCTTGCATGATAAGGCCCCTAAGGTTTTGAGCGACTGTGTAATTCCTCTCAGAGCTGTGGGCTCAGTCACAAGAGGAGCCCACAGTGGAAACTGTCAAGTTCCCAGACGCAAAACCTCTTTCGGTCAATCAGCTTTCATTGTACAAGCTACCAAAACTTGGAACACATTACCTGCAGAACTGAAGGGAGAGTCAAACTGGGTCCTTTTTAAACATAAACTTAAAGACTTTTTATTGAGAGGTCAGACATGTGAACATTAATAACCTAACTGACCTGATTTTATTTCTGTGATGTTTTAATGTGTAATTTGCTCTGTTTTTTCTTGTGTACAGTCACTGTGTTTGTGTAAAAGCCTAACTGGGGACAGACATTGAGAATTAGCCGTAGCTAAAATGTTGTAGTGTGTGACATGATGCATGAAACATACTTGTCCCTATCAAATAAACGAATAAATAAATAAATAAAAACCTCAGTTTTTTTCACAGGGATTTTATGCGATAAGCCAAAAAAAAAAGTGAAGGGAAAACAAGGTGTTCTTTTATTAATAAAAATGTTTTAATTACCAGACCTGTGTTGGTGTATATTTAATACTGTGTATTTTTTGTTTACAAGTCATACCAAACTTCTCTTTTTTCTGTACAAATTCTAATGCAGTACAACAAAATGCACTTAATAATGATGCGATATTTGTACATGCTTTTTTCATTTAAATAGAGGCATACATAATCTAAACTCCACTGTTCAAAGTTTAAATGGCTGTTTCAGTTCTGATCCTCGCCCAGAGGTTATTTTGAGCATGTTTGTGTAGGTTAAATATTCTTGATCTTACATGAGTAAATTTTTGTAATGAATCTTGAAACTGAGTTTTAGAGGGTTTTACTTTTTTATTGCCTATTTTAATAGTACAATTCCAGTTAGACTGTCAAATTTCTGGCTGGCCCATGAAAGATTGGACAATTTAAAACAATAGTGTATAAAATGTGGGCTGCTCAGTGGGTAGCACTGCTGCCTTGCAGGTTCTGGGTTCATGCATGGAGTTTGCATGTTCTCCCTGAGCATGCGTGGGTTCTCTCTGGGTACTCCGGCTTCCTCCCACAGTCCAAAACTGCCCACATCTCCAAATGACTGTTAGGTTGATTGGCTTCTCTAAATTGTCCTTAGGTGTGAGTGTGTGCATGAATGGTTGTTTGTCTCTGTGTTGCCCTGTGATGGACATGGCGACATGTCCAGGGTGGACCCCGCCTCTCGCCCATTGACTGCTGGAGATAGGCGCGACCACACTCGTGTAAGAAAAGGGATGGTATATAAAATGATTAGACTTTTATTTCAATGTATTTGGTAACATTTATCAAAAGAAAAATGGCAATGATTACCTAATATTAGTGATTAATGTAACAATGAAGCAAAGTAAATGTCAATCAGAGAAAATAATAAATATCTACTTAAATTACTTCATAACAGCAAATTTTACAGGGATATAACATTTACTTAAAATTTTGAGTAAAATGCAAGTTCACTTTACTTAATTTTTTTAATAAATCTCTTCCTTAATATCTTCGCCACTGTTATGCTTAATGAAAAGTAAAATTCACTTGATACTGGCAAGTGAGTGTCACTTGATATTGCAGCATAAAATTTTACTTAAATCATTTGAGTGCAAATACTTACAATATATTCTTCAAGTAAATCTTATGAGCTGTTTTTTTCAGTGTACGTTATGCTACAGGAATATGTGTTGAGCTGTTGCTGACGCTTGGAGAAGCATTAGTTCACTAAGGATTTAAACACTGATATAACATTAGTGTTCATGTGTTCCTCAGATGCTCATTACATTTCCATTACCAAGTCTGACCAAGAGTCATTTAGTGGAATCCTGATGTCTATTTGCTGCTAGCTATTTCAAAGAAGGTAAAGAATCATTTAGCTAAAGGTTATTGGTTCTTGATTAAGCAAATCATTCAATAAAACATTATTTAGCCAAATAATGTTTTATTCACCTCATGGATTTGCATTGTGAATTGGTCTGAAAACATTCCAATTTCTTTAAAATTAGTGAAAAGCTAATTTGATCATATCCCAAATTCTTCCAGATAAACTTTGGTTTCAAACACAGAATCCATCTTAAACTGTATGTTTTTCAACCATTTCTGCCTCCTCTTTGTACATAGTAGTTAGTTTAGTTTAGTTGAGCTTTACTAGTCTTAGTTGAGAGTGTTAAACTGAAATATGTTTGACTTGGAGCTGAATTATTTTTGTTAATAAAATCTTATATTTTCAATAGAAGTTGTGGTGAATTTATTCCATGTATGTGAAATTAACTTTGACCATGATTAGTGCTCAAATCACTCTTTCATATATTGTTCTAACACACAGTTAGTAGGACTGTGTGTCATAAACAATATATAACAGCTGAAACAATATCTAATTAAACAAGATATTTTACCCCCCCCTACCGTTGAGGTTAATAAACATCCGAAAGTATCAGAAATATAAATTCCCAGCTGGATGGGAATAGAACTGAACATAAAATCATAACAGTGTGATGCAGAATCTCTATTTGTGACCTGATTAGAGTTTCAACAGTTCAACGCTCTTATGGCAGCAGGGAAAAGCTGTTGCAGAACCTGCTGGCCCTTGACATGATCTTTTCAGCTGCTACTTCCTTATTTCATTGTTCCATCTTCTTTTGGATCAGGATTAAATTTTGTTCAACTCTGTTTCTGCTCTTCCTTTGTGCCCTTGTTCTCTTTTTAAAGCTTCTGCATAACTAAGACTATCAGCCATATTAATTTGTTGGATTTCTTTCTTGACATCTCTCATGTGTCACCCTGTGTTTCCCTCTCCAGTTACACCATTTTTCATGTGTATTTTCTGTGCAGTCTTCATATCTGTGATTTCCCCCAAATCTTTTTAAGTCTCTCCAAATAGAATAGAGAATAGAATGGAGTAGAAAATCCCTTTATTGTCCCACAATGGAGAAATTCTGGTATCTTCATCAGTAGGAATCTCTGATCACACCTTTTGTTGTTTTCTTTCACATTCTTTTTACAGATGTTTTCTTTCATCATCATCATCATCATCATCATCATCATCATCATCATCATCATCATGATTTAGTTTTATTTTGAATTCTCCTTTTTAAAGTTTTTTTAACATACTATCTCCATTCTTTAATCTGAACATACTTCTTCCACACTCAGCTTTGAATTCCCAACCACACCTCTCTCTTCTCATCTTCGTCTTTTTCCTCTTCCTCATCCATTCACAATCTGAGACTGAACTGATGGTGCCATGTCAAAACTAACTTTTTATCTTATTCTTGATTTCTGAAAACAGCCCTTAGTTTAGGACCATTGATCTAGAAAATTATGTAACTCATTTGGACGAATCCTCTGAGGTGTTTATCTGCTGCTAAGAGACTTTGGCATAGAGCGTTTCTGAAAACGTAATTAATTTTTTTTTTAAATGCTGTTTTTAATATATATCCACTCCAGGTGGAAGGCCAGAACAGAGACCTTCCTAAATAGATCCAGAGATGACTACGTTTTGATACATCAGATAACTGTATGAATAATTTAAATTTTTCATTTAACTCTAAGTTAAATGTGTTTTTGTCCTTAAATCCTTTAGATCTTTCCAGGTTTTTATCAGAGTAATAATTACCTTTGAAACAGAAAAGCCTAATAAAAGATCTTTAGCAATTCACCGTCCAGCAGTTACCAACATTTTACATGATGACACTAAAACAGCTGTTGCCTTGGCGTTCTCTCATGTGTTCATCTATAATTTGATTCACATTATTTGTATAAATTGTAGGTAAAAATGGGAAAAAAAAGAAAAAAGACAGTGAGCTGCAGCAGTTGGTGTTTCCTGTCTGCATCAAGTGAGCAGGCATTACATTCTGTTTCTGCTGTTTAACAAAAAACAACAAAGAAAACTGGTTATTATGTGAGGGCAAATGACATCACATGACATTAGAAGACGACAGGTTCCACAACATGGTTAAACAACATAACATGAGGAGAAAAACTCATGATCTACAGCATATGGACACAATATATAGATCTGATATAGACACATAAACCAACCATATATACAGCTTCCTGTACATAAACACATCAGACACACACCTCATATAGACACAAGGACATTGGAAAACATTGGAAATATTTTTGGCACCAAAAGAACCCAGAACATTACAGGAGCAGGACTTTAACCATGTGATCTACAGTAATTAGACCAACATGGGTCTCATGTAGCACCAAGCTGGTATATTTTCATATTCCATCCTGTGTTCTCCTTTAGCTTCCATCATTGTCTCTGCTGTAGCTTTTTGGTTAAACAAGAGTTCCTATTTTTAGCTGATGGATTGGAGAAAATGTTCAGAGGATCTTTATTCTCTGTGAGAATGAACTCATCTTTTTTTAATCTATTGAAGATCTTCATCATGTTTCTCTATATAACTGACTGAGGAACAAATGCTGCCGATCCCAGAGCTGATCTCAGACTGTCTCATTCTCTTAGCCAGCCATTCAGCAACGTAGTTATGAGCTCGTTGGTTCCTAATCTCTGAAATGCTCCCATATTCTGAGGAAACATCTCCGCTCACTGAAACAGAAGAAAAAAAAAATTATTTTAAGAAAAAAACATGGATGGAGCCAAGAGCTTGTGGAAACTCGCAGGTTGGTTCTTCCTCATTTAAAACTTACTGTCTGGAATACCTCCATCATCCTTGCTATTTGCCACCTCCACAGAGGGCACTGTTGGTTTCTCTGGTTCCTTTGCTAAAGCTTTCATCATTCTCTCCATCAGCTCCTGCTCCCGTCTGTTCCACTCCTCTCCCACTTACTTCAGTTGTGAAGCATCCTTTGTTCTGTTTTACCATGTTGAGAATTTTTTGGAACAGCTCTTTGACTTGAACAGGATCATCATAATCAAAGCTGCTGAGAACATGGTATCTGTTCCCACACTTCTCCAGAAGCTCCTGGAGCTCCTTGCCCTCTCTGACGATGTAGTTCTCTACAGGGAGGCCATTGAGCCAGTCTCCCCTGGTAAACAGCACCATGCAGTGTCTCCACACTCTCTCTGTTAATGGCATCAGGACCTCCACCAGAGCTTTGAGATCTTTCTCAGAGAAAGCTCTGAAGATTGGAACAACCAGGAGAAAAACATGAGGTCCAGGAGAAAACATGGAGACACTGTGGAGAACTTCATCTTTGATCCAGTCAGGTGGTGTTGGGTCTGAGAACCAGCCTGGTGTTTCAACCACTGAGACTTTTACTCCATCAAAGTCTCCTTCATGTTTCTCACATGTTGCAGATGTTCTCTGATCTTCATAGTTCTGAAAAAAAGAAGAACATTTCTGGACGTGATGAACTCAGGTAAACATCCAGTCAGGATATTTGAATTTATGAAATGTATTTTCTTAATCATCATGATGGTTCACCTTTTCCAACCAAACTCTATTAAATGTTATTTTAAATTTCTTCTTGAAAAGGATCTGATTTCCTGCTGAACTCTTTCCTGAACATTTCTGTCCAACCAGAACAATCCTGATGTCAGTGACTGGATCTCTCTCAGCTGGAAAACAAACAGAAAAACCAAATAGTTTCTAATCCTGAAACATTAATGTTACAGGATTATATCATAAACTTTTATAAAACTTCTTTACCTTCATAAACCTCTTTCAGAACTCTTGACTGTCTCTCGTTGATCTCCTTCAACCTTCTGGCTTCCTTGTCTGCAGCCTCCATCTTGGCTTCTATCTGTGCTGCTCGGTCCAGGTCCACTTCATAATGAGGATCTTCATTCCCTGCCCACATCTCTTCAATCTTCTCAATGAGCTCCTTTACCTGAGTCTTATCACTGTGGTCCTTGTTGTTCAGAACATGATACCTGTTCCCACACTTGTTCACTATCCACTGCAGACCTTCATCACTCTCTATACGCTCCTCCACAGTCTTCACTCCTAACCAGTCACCAAAGGTAAACAGAACCAGTGTGTGTTTCCAGATTTCTTCTCTGAACAGACTCATGTGTTCCTGGACAGATCTCAGATATGATGGATCAACGTGTACTGCCAGAGGAATAACCAGCAGCACAGCATGTGGTCCTGGAGGACAGAGATTCACACTGTTCTCTATTTCCAGTTTGTCCATCTCACTGGTGTCCTGAAGGGTGTGGATGTAGAACCATCCAGGAGAATCCACCACTGTGAGCCGCCTTCCTTCAACCACACTGTGGCTAATTTCACTGTTTGTTGTTCTATTTCTAACACTTTTATTAACACCAAATGCATTTTTTCCTAGAATGATGTTTCCTGCTGAGCTCTTTCCAACAAATGATCCACCAATCATCAATATTCTCAAATGGTTTGGAGGAACTTTTCCACCTAGATCATAAAAGCAAACCAATAATTTAGGATTTAAAAGTTTACAGCTCAGGTCTGTTTAGAGTAGAGTTGATAATGTGGAGAAATGGTGCAACATTTGTAAAATAAAAAAAGTGAGAAAATAATTAACTATGTGAATACTTGGATTTAGATGGTTTTAAAATGTCTACTGTGCCTTTTTTATTATACCAACAATAAAAAATTTTTTTTTCCAAAAGTTCTAATTAAATAATGTGTTTTGTATGTCAAGCTCCCAGAGACGTCTGCAGAAACATTTATCACTTTATCCTGATAGAAAGAAAGTAGAATTACCTTCAATCTGCAGCTTCAGGTTTCTTCTTTGTTTCTGAACTTCATCAAACCTTTTCGAGGCTTTTTTAACCAAATCTTTCAGTCTCTCTCTCAGAGCATTTCCATCAGATTCATCAACAGAACAGTGTCTGCCCCTGTTCTGTTCAATCATCGCCTCAATTTTCTCTAGAAGCATCTTGACTTGATCTCTATCTTCTCTGTTGCTGATGTTGAGAACATGTTTTCTGTTTCCACATTGTTGAAGGATCCACTGCAGGACTGGACATTCTCTGATTTCTGATTTAATGGTTTCATCACTACATGGATCGACTGCAGTGAACAGCACGATGGTGTGACTGAAAACATCTGCTTTGAAAAGTTCCAGGTGTTCCTCTAGAGATAGATTGATGAGATTAAAGAAATCTGAACCAACAGGAATGACCAGAAGAAAGACATCAGGTCCTGGGGGACACAGATGGACACTATTCTGGATTTCTATCTGATCCAGTTTTAGGGTTTCTTCTCTTGGATAAACCCAACACCATCCTGGAGTATCAACCACCGTGAGTCGTCTGCCGAGTACTTCCTGCTGCCTCGCTTCACTCTGAGCTGTTCTTCTGCTGGTGTCAAAAACATTGTGACCCAGGATGATGTTTCCAGCTGAGCTTTTACCGCTCGAAAGGTTATTGAATCTTCCTCCTATCAACACAATCCTCAATTCTGTAGCAGGGCGGCTGAGTGCTGTTAAGAGAGATAAGACTTTATTTTATCACACAGTTTATAAACATCGTTTTTTAGCCAATAAGTGAACAGAATTTTTAGATTAACATTTCTATTAAAATGACAAAAACATTGTTACCATGACAGAAAACCTAATATAAGGAAATCTAGAAAAGCAGAGGGAGCCATTTTGTTTGACTCTATGTTCTGTTTAAAGTCAAAGTCTCTGAATTTAACATATATATCCACTAAAATAGGAGTTTGCCAGATTATAATCCCAATTTGATAAAGTTTGAGGGAAAGTTTTATAAAAAGATCTCTGACCTGAGTTGAAAATATCAGCTGAAGCGGCCATTTCATCAGCTTCTCTCTGTCGACTTTCTGCTTGTTTGTTCCAACAAAACCTGTTTCTAAATGAAAGTAAATTAAGCAGAAGGAATTTTATTGGGGTTGAAGGTTGGATGATGAAGTTAAACAAGATCAGAGATCGCCATCTGCTGGACAACTAGATTAACTACAGGTCTACTGAGGTTAAGAAATAAAGACATTGAATTTAAACTGCTGATGTTAGAAAAATAAAAGTAAATAAAACAGAAGGAAATAAAATAATAATCAAATCATAATTTAATTCTTCATTGATAGTAAAATAAACCAGTTACAGAAAATCAGATCCAGCTTCTCATCACAGCAGTTTATTTGTCTCAATGGTCCTGATCAAGTTTAAAGACTAAGAAAACATCTAACATTATTCTGTCTGTGACCAATTTACCATGTGGCTTTAGATGAGTGCTGCTGGAATTAACTTCAAACTGAGCAAAGAAAGTTGAGTTTGACCTACAGAGGTCTGCAGATTTAGCAGAAGCATTTAACCAGAATCTTCTATTCAGCTACAATAATCACAATTATCAGACTTTTCTTTTTCTTTAATCCAATACTTATGGCCATACTGCTCTCTGCAAGCCTGTTCCTGTTCTGATCATAGCAGCTAAGCAGCATCAGGCTTGGTGATTACATGGATGGGAGACCATCCTGGAATACCAGCTGCTACAAGCTAAACCTGAACTAATATCAAATAGCTTTAGTTCACATAGAGAGCAACACATTTATGGAACATGATCCCAGAAACAATAACAGAGAAGGTAAAAACAAAGAGGTTTAAATCACTATAGAAAGTTTGTTATTTGAAGAGAACATTTACAGAAAGCTATGAACTATATTGTCTTCTAATGTGTTGTTTTGTATCTTAATTTACTATTTTCTTTATTGGACCCCAGAAACAGCAGCGACAGCTTAGCTGTGCTGATGGGGATCCCAACAATAAAATAAGATCAAATAAATAAGTTTGCTCTGGCTTAAGGGTGGCTGTCTGTTAACTGATGGACTTCACATTATCTCCTTAAACTGTGTAGAACTAAAGCATCCAGATCCATTTGATATGGGCCTCAGACTAGGAAGGAACAACTCTGGTAACGTTTGACTTCCTGGATCAAAGTTTAAGTCTTTGTCTTTAAATGGCTGCAGATCACAGGGATTGTTCAGAGGAAATGTTTTCTGAATTTGATCTACTATTAATATCACTGTGGCTTTGGAGGTGGAAGAATGAAAATCAGATGTTTTTCATTTAGATACAGAATTTAAAGACCTTTTTAAAAATTAAGCCTGCTTCTTGGTTTGTTTTTACCTCAAAGTTTAGCTTAACTTCACTTGTTTGATTTGTCTTTATTAATATTTGTGGCAAATATTCAGTGTGGATGTAAAACCAGGATGTTATATTTACAGTCCTAGTAGATAAACTGTTATTGTAGGATCATTAAAAAAGTTCAATAAGACCAGAGATGGAGCACAGGAAATAAACACTGTTTGATATCAGTGACATAAAATCTAGTGAATAAATGCAACATTATCAGGATTATTAGTACAGCAATAAACTGTTGATGCATAGAAAATGTTTTAATTTTATAAACATAAAACAACAGCAGATGCTTAGTATTTATTTCTCCCTAAAAGATTATACAAATTGCTTGGTGAGATTAAACCTAATTTAAATAAGTATTCCATTGCTCACTGTGACTTTCTGTGTCATATACACACACTGAGCAGCTGCTACTGCTGTGAAAAAAAAACAAAATAAAATACAACTACATAATCAGTTTTAAAAGTTTTTTCAGTCTCATATCAGACAGCAATAAATACATTTTTTAGGGTTTGTTTTTCTGATTTATGGTTGCCAATAAAACACATGATACATAGAAAGATAAAATAACCTCAATAACCACATCATAATTAAAATGAATCATGGTCTGTATAATATAGCAATGATTCTGTTCTCCTCATTAATAGGCAGCCAGACTGACCACATTTAACTTATTTTGGTTAATCTGCAAAATAACAGCGACATCTCATGGTGGTTTAATCTAGACTGGGCTATATTCTGTTCTGTTCATCTGAAAACCTAAACGACTGATTCATCATTTCCAGTGTTTTTTAGATAATTTCTTTTGTTCTTCTCTTAAATAATGAAGCAGCAACAGTCAGACTCCCACCTGGCTTCAGAACAATGGATTCTAGACACCAACCTCACTGTTGAAACAGGCTTTTGTAGAGTCTGGGAATGAGTTAAGTCACTATTAAAGTCAACAAGCTTAATAGTTCTGATTGCTGCAGCAGATCTGAGCCTCCTGCAGGTCAAACAGTTCACTGCAGGATTTAATAGTTTGTTGTTTAATAACAGTTTGTTGTGTTTGAACCAAGAAACTACCTGCTGTTAAAGCCTTGTTTTTATTAGGCTAAACTAAAGAGCTATACGTTTTAGTTTATATTTTTTTGAAAAAAAACATTTATACAAATGATCATTTAAATACATCTGAACATGCTTATTAAAAGCCACTAATCCAATATATGGAAATATCCAAGTCCACTTGTGGTAATGAATAATATTCCTTTATAGATAAATCAGTTGTTAATATTTTCAGTATTTTTTGAAGTATAAATATTTCAGTTTCTTTTATAATCCTGTGTTGCAGCCCCTCCTGAGTTAATATTACAGTATGAAGATAAAGTGATTGGTCAGATTATTGATCCATCAATAGGATTTATATAATCAGATTAGATTATTTTACAATGGGCTGCAGCGCATGCAGAAAATATGAAATGATGATGGGACATGATAACCATCATTTCCATGTAACGACCCTTAAACTCAGAGACATGCAGAGACTGTTTGAGGGGCAGGAGCTCAAAGTTAAAATGGGGCACAGATTTAAAACAGGATACAGAAACATACCTTGCTATAAAACTGGTTGAATTGTACCAACCCAATCACAACACACCATATCACACATACTCAAGTGTTTATTAGAGGTCAGTACAAGGCGAAATGAGTCTGAGTTTCACCTTATGGGTAGATTAAACAGCTTCTGTTGAGGGGGTTGTTGCTGCTGTGTTGCTGGAGATGGGCTGTATTGATCTGATTTGTAGACACAAAAGACCATGGGAGTTGATAGTAGCTGATTAAAAAAGAGGTTTGTGTTCATGCAAGATGAAAGGATAACTAACATTAAAAATGGCTCACTGTGACTGACCTGCTACACTGCTGATAGTTTGGAAGAGACTACTTGTTGAGACATGGGGGTCTGTACTGCTGTCTGTTTCTGTCAGTATCTGTCTGTCAGTTGTTTGTACACATCACAGTGGCATTTTATTTTTTTTGAGTTTTAAAAGCAACGTCCTGTTGCCCATGGTCGTAAAAATGTCAATGACTTTTGACTTCTTGTGCTCTTTGTCATCCAGCTGGTGAGTGATCCACTACCTTTCGCAGTCTCACACAGCTCCTTTTGTTTTGGTCTTAACCTCCTCTCCTTACCAGGCATCTCTGCAAAATGAAACATGATCCTTAAACTACAATTCGATGCACATAAAACACACACACATTAATACAAATTTACATGTCATACCTTTTCAAAAAATGTACTGTATAGCCACAAATTTAATCTATTAATAATTTGCCCTTTATTATTCGTGGTGCTATAAAGTACAATTTATTTAAATGATATAGAGTAAAATATTAATTGAATAAATATTCACTTATTCAAATATTTTTTTGCCTTTATTTGGTTTGTTATTGACTTTGGGCATGACATCAAGGGTCAAAAAGTTATATGAGTTGTGTGCATTTTAGCCACTATAAGCCTTTTTAATTTTTGTGTAAACACATGAGACATTTAGAAAGTCAAAACTCAGATTCTACCATTATTGTTGTGTATGTACTGCAACAGTCAAAAATTTATGTCAATATATATAGTTTTAGTGATGTAAAATAGGACAAAACAGCTTTACAGTAACATAACACATAATTTCTCTCTAATGCTTTGCTCATGGCAGGAGAAAGAGTAAAAACCTGATGTACTTCTTCCCCATAACTGGCTTTGCATGTAAGCTAGCGGCAGGGATGTGACAACTGTAATATAAATTATTTTAACACTATTGCATCTGCGCCCTCTATAGACCGGCGTACTATAGTGCAAACCCACTTTTTGCGCCGCTGACAAGTGGCTTCAACTTGTGAGAGGTTGGTGTGTGCAAATTTGGACAGCATAGAGGATCCTCATTGCTCAGTTTACTTGGTCAGTCTTCTCATCTTACTACAATACACCGTGCACAAACTAACACCACTGCAGAACCTACGTACCGGACCAGTTGTTTACTTTTTCTGGAATCGTTGTGTTGATCATGTGACGAGCCACGGTTACCGTGGCACAATAGATCTAAATTATTACTAATTATTACTATAATTACTAAATTATTACTATAATTTAGATCTGAAATTATTATTTTGGACATGTACACACATACACAAACACACCAATACACATAGATACAAGCTCAAAATAAAAAAATAGACTTGCCTGTATTTTCCGTTAGCAGCCGTTTTCCGGACTTACATTTTAGTTTACTGCGCAGCCGCTTTCGGGCTTGCCTGCCACTCATAGCAGCCGCTTTTTTCAGGCTTGGTTTTTTGTTTATGGGCAGCCATTTTCGGGCCTGCCTATATTACTGATAAGCAGCTGTTTTCGGGCTTGCTTTTTACTTTCACTGCTGTGCTTGGCTAGTCCTCCTTGCAGCCTTGCTGATGGGGAACCCCTGGTGGCGTTTTCTGCTCGACCGGGTTTCCTGACCTGTCCGCTCGGTTTGAGTGTCAAGAGTGGCGATTTCAGCTCGACCTGACCTAGCCCTGTGAGCGTGAGATGTTGGACGCGCCGTGTTGCAGAAGTTGTTTGGCCCCTCTCCAGGTGGAGGACGGGCATGATTTGGACCGAATCACCTGAAAGAGGCCTTGACTGATGCGGCCTGTCCTAATTGTTCTGTCCTGCCCTTGTCCCTACGTAATGCTCATTTGGTTGGCCAGCCAGCCTGTGAAACGTGTGGCTCCTGAGGCTATGGGGCCTCCATGGAAGAGGAGCAATAGCAGCTCCAGGATTTCAGAGGGCTTATCTGGGCAAGTGGCCCAGCTCGCTTCTGATCTGGAGGCCATGAAAGCGCTGCTTGAGTCCCTTAGGGGCGAGTGTGGCGCTAGCATGACTGGAGAGCTTGACCAAGGGCAGAGCGTGGGTTCCGGACTCTGCTTTAGATGACGATGCTATTTCTCTGGCGGCATCTGGCACAGATTTTCGGGATAATTTTGACTCCGGCTCATTTCAGGATATACAACCTGGCTTCTCAGAAGCCAGGTTGTATATCTCTTCTGGCTCTCAGTCAGAGGAGGATGGTTAAATAGTGGGCACTCTGAGATCGGAGATGACATCACTGGGCTGGAGGTTGGAAACTTTCACCCAGACCAGGTAATTTGCTGGGCCGCACTTGTTCCCTATCCATGGGTGGTGTGTATACTTACCCGGGGTTACGCGCTATAGCTCCGCCGCCACCCTCCTTTCCCTGGTTGAGTCAGGATGACGGTGATTCACGACCAGCTAAAGGCTCAGGCTCTGAGCCAAGAGATAGACACCTTGCTGGCAAAGGGTGCTATATTGCCGATTGACCCCCTATTGGATCCAGGGGGCTTTTAGGTAAGGCATGTTCTGGTGCGGTCAGACAACAAGTCAGTGGTTTTTCACATCAACCATCAGAGGGGAACACGGTTGATGACATTACTGAGGCTGACCCAGAAGCTTTTGACCTGGGCAGCCCCACATTTTGCCAGCCTGAGAGCGGCCCACAATTCAGGGGAGCAGAATGTTTCTGCCGTCATACTATCCCAGGGGCGTCCACCACCGGGGAAGTGGAGGCTCCACCCAGAGGTAGTTGGGGGTATTTGGGAGAGGTTCGGAAGAGCAGCCATACAGTAGATCTATTTGCATCCCAAGAGATGACACATTGCTCGCTTAGGTTCTCCCTGGCAGACAGTGCCAGTCCCCTAGGTCAGGATGCGCTGTCGCAAGATTGGCAGAGAGTACTGATCTATGCATTCCCTTCGCATCTCCTGATAGGCGCAACACTCCTGAGGGTCCCCAGGAGGGGCATCATCTCCTTCTCGTGGCCCCCCGTTGGCCAAGGAGGACTTGGTTTCCACTGCTGCACAGACTCTGTTGCAGCTCTCCAATTCCTCTTCACCACAGGAAGGACCTTCTGTCACAGCTGGATAGTCAGATCCTGCAACCCAATCCCAGTCACCACCAACTCTGGGTTTGGCCACTACGGGGCCGGGCGTTTCCTTCTCGGAGTATGGCGGGACATTGGACGCACATGACTAATGCCAGGGTCCCTTCCACATGGCTGGTGTACACCCATAAGTGGAAGGCTTTTAGCCGCTGGTGTCAGGAAAGGAATGAGGACACTGTACAATGTCCTATTTCAGTTATTTTAACCTTCCTTCAAGTACTGCTTTCTCAAGGTCGCTCTCTGTCCACTCAGAAAAATTATGTTGCTGCCATCTCTTGCTGGGATTTGGTGGTGAGTCGGGAGATGGTGGGTCATAACAAGGATGTTTCCTTGTTTCTGAGAGTTGCCCGACGTTTGCACCCTGCCACATGCATTGTTGTGCCTGTGTGGGACCTCTCTCTTGTCCTTGCTGCCCTGCACTCTACTCCTTTTGAACCTTTGGAAGAGGCAAGCCTTGAGTGTTTGTCAAAGAAGGCAGCTTTTCTCCTCGCCATGGCCTCGGCAAAGCGGGAGGGCAAACTACATGCCTTGTCTGTTCACTAGTCCTGCTGCCGTTCAAACCCAGCTGGTTCGGTTGTTACTCTCTGGCCTGATTTGGCATTTCTTCCTAAGGTGGCTTCATCCGCAATCCACACTGCCCCTCCAGCTTGCTCACCTTGATGTGCATGGGCCTGATGGGCCTCTCTGCCCTGTTTGGGCATTGAAGGCATATGTCGGACTCACAGCTTCTCTCCGGCAGTCAGATAGTCCATTTGTTTGCTACACGGGGCCCAGCAAGGGGCAGGCCCTTTCTAAACAGTGCCCTGCACATTTGATTGTGGATGTGGTGGAACAAGCGTACATTCAGCATGCCCGCCATTCAGCATGCCCGCCAACCCCCCGCTGGTGTATGGTGCCATTCCACCAGGGGCGTTAGTGTGTCATGGGCCGCTATGACTTGTGTCACTCTGGAAAAAAGAACATCAGCATTAATTCAAAACCCTAAACTGCCTTTCTCTCGCCAGAGCACAGCAATCCTGATGCATCAAAAGGAAAGTAAATTGATTTTACTGTGAGATGAGTGACATGGTGGAACTTCCTGTTGGAGTATTCGGCTAATTGGTCCATTTGAGGTGGCCGCCTCCCGCAGTGGGCCAGGTCTTCTTTGTTCTTGTTTTGGAGGGAATCCTTTGTTCTCCCTTGTGGAGAAGAGAAGGGGGATGGGTTCCAGGTGGCTAACAAAGGGGGATGGTTTCAGATGGCACACCCCACTGATTTAGCTCCATTTTGGCAATATATCCCAACACGTGGAAAACATAAATTGGCAGACAAGTGGGAGGAGGACGTCTATATTGTCCTCAAGCAAGCTGGAGAAATGCCAGTTTACACAGTTAAACCGGAAAATAAAGATGGACCAGTACGGACTCTGCACAGAGACCTGCTTTTGCCATGTGGGTTCCTGTCAGCAGCTGCAGAACCTGAAATAGTCAAACCTTGTCCAAACAGCAGACCCAGAACGAGACAATGTCCAGTCATCGAGAGTGAGGAGCAGAGCATTTCAGATTGGGATGATATACCTGATTGGACATTCGTCCCTCGTATTACATCTAAACCTAATGATTATATCATAGTGCCTGAAACTCACAAGTCGAGTGAGCCTCCTTGCGCAGTCCGGCACTCAGCAGGAACAGAGGAATCTGCAGTTTCCTTCACACCTGATAATCCAGCAACTCCCTCCCTTGTAGGTGATAGAAGTACTGGAGACATTCAGGGTGTATCAAGTGTCAACTTACCTGAAAATGTTGACTTACCTAAACATGACAACCTATCTGAAGTGAACATTTCACCTGAACTGACCTCAGTGAACAGATCCCCTCAATGTTTGGATTTGCAGCAATCTGAGGACATTCCTCCAGATAATGAGACAAGCTCAGATGCAGCATGTGATGAGGGGTTTTGTAAAGCAAATGAACCTGTTACTGCCCAGCCTGAACCCTTAAAGTTTCAGACTGATGGACTTCAAGAGGCTGAAACATCTCTTCGTCGCTCTCAAAGAGTACACACAAAGCCTAAAAGATTAGATTATGTAAAACTAGGAAATCCTCTGATAATGGTAGTGAATTCTCTTTTCCAGGGTCTAAGTGAGGCATTGACTAGTTCCATGAATGGTTTTGAGAATGTGTCCCATGATTTCGTCAGGCCTGCCTAAGCTGTGTTAGTCAGTATTGCATTGTGAATGCCCAGGGACGGGCATACCCTTCAGAGGGGAGGGTGTAATATACATAAAATGGCGATGTCTCTTTAAGAGTCAGAGGACCACTGCCGCGCTGGTCCTGTCTTGCTTCCCCGCGTCTGCAGTACCAGTTCTGGCATGAGGAGGAGACGGCTGAGCTGTGCAGTGTGATAGTCTGACAGTTATAGTTTGGATACAAACTTAAAACAAACAGTTTGCAGTTAAAATGACCTGTTATCATCCACAGTTCAAGCTGGAAATAGTTGAGGTGAGTTAAAAACTAAAGTTTTCTGCCGAGCATTAAAGCTACCTTGCTAGCCAGCCTTGTTAGCTCTTAGCTATTAGTTTCTGGAGGTTCATTTTGTTCTCCATTCAGTTGAAGTGCCCCACCTGTCCGGACTGAGAGCCATCATATTGTTGTCCCAAACAGGTTGCAGTGAGATCGGTAAGCATATTTTGTGCATTTCCTTTAGGTTTTTTGTTCTGTTCATCACATTGCTGTTGAATAATAGCATTTAGTTGGATGTAGTTAATAATTAAAATGTTAATTTTTACTGAGTTGGTTAAAAAGTAATGTTTTATTATTGTGTTTGAAAAATATTTCCCAATTAGAAGAATAAGTGAATTGATAATGTGGTGAAATACTGCATTGTGGTAAAAGAGAAATGGTTATTTCAAATTTGAGTAACTTAACACATTGATGTTGGATATGATATCTAGAGAAGCATGATTCAAGGATTAAAGCTAGAACAGCTTAATAAAAATTCTGTTATTCTGCTGGTCCTGTCTGTTGACAGGTCAGGTTTTTTTCTTTATGCTGGATTATTCCTGAGGTGGATTCCTCCGGTGATTGATGGCGAGCCTTCCCACCTGGACTTAGAGAAAGAACTGGATTCATTCTTTTCCATTTGGAGTCCTGCTGCACCCTGCGGTGTGGTAGGTCTGTTTCACTCACATCTTCATGCACAGTTGGTTGTGCACGGGACCATTGACTGACATTTTTTCACTTTTATTGTTTCATTCTGGGATTTAAGACCTTATTTTTTTTACAAGATTTATTTCGGACATTAAAACATACCGCTGTGGTGGACATTCTCCTCAGGTGAATGATGTTGAGTAAAACCTGAATTGGAACCGAATTTAGTAAATCTGAATTGTTTATTACAAATTTGAATTAATATTAAGAGGGTGCACCCAAGATATTTAGAACTGAGAATTAGAACTTGGCCAAGTATTGCTATTATTTTATTTTATGTGTATTTTCTTGTGTGTATTTTATTTTATATGATTTTGTGTTTCATACAACTGTTTTGTACAATTTTATATTTCATATCACTTGTTCTTTAAATCCATCCAACCGCCTTTGTGTGTCATTTAAACACCCCACTATGCTCCCATAGCCGAACCTATTGGCCCATTTATCTAAAATACTTAATA